CTCTTCAACTCACTCAGTTACTCACACAGCACACAGACAGAGGCAACCAGAATAGCTTTTGAAACTTTTCAACATCACACACAAATTTACCTTTTCAAACAAATTACCAGCGATTCATGATGTGTAATAACCATTGAAATATGCAAATGAAAGTGCCAACAAAAAGATAAAGAATGATTAAAACAATTAAATAAGACACTAAATGAAGCAAACCCAGCGAACGCCCTTCTGGTTAACATTTTTTTGGGTTGAAACAAAACGCCTTTGTTTGGCCAATGAAACACACTGGCAAAGAGTTGAGCTTTCAAACAATTAACATTCATTCAAAGTGATACATTCAAGGGCATTTCAAAGTAAAAATAAGATGAAAAAATATTGAAATGAAAATGAACAAAACAAGATTATTTCCAAATGATTATTGATGATGATCAACATGAACAAGTGTCTTTCCAATAAGATAATCATGGACAACAACCTTCATCTTGTTATCATCATCATTTCTGATCGTTCAATTTACTCTTCTCTCTCTTTCGAGACAAGAAGAGAAAAGTGTTTTCCATTCAAGTGTTGTCACTCTCGCTCTCTCTTTCATCTTGAACACTTTGATACTCTCTGATTATCATTTATCTCATTCATCAACCTAAACCATCGTTTAGCAGCATTTCAAGCTGTAAAACAAAACCTGATTAACCAGGGAAACCAAGGTAACCATTAGTCAAACTGGCCTTGAACTGTTTTTTGTAGGTTATCATCAATCAATTGATAGGTTTTTTACATTGTTTTCATTTTTCATCATCATTCTCTTCACTCTTATCATCAAACCTGATGTAATGTGAATATTGAAACAAGTAAAAAAAGAAACGTCTGTCTATTGATTTAACCGGATTCAAGTGAAATAATGAAACATTGAACACAAACATGAAAAAATCAGGTTCAAGAAACGGTTCAAGAACGGAAATCTGTATCTTCCTTTACAATTAATTTTGTCGCTTCTCCAAACCCATTTGTTTTACATTGTTAATAAACATTGAATATAAATTAACCGAGAGTAATGATTGTGTCTTCTCATGCTTCTCCAATGGGTTATACTGAACAAATTGCAATATCAATTGTTTCATCTTTGGAAGGTTATTTTACCATTGTAATGGCAATAAATGATTACCGAGTTTACTGGTTAGTGCTTGTAACTTGTTGGTAACAACTTGATTCCCAATAATAATATTATGAAGAGAGAGGGAAAAAAAGGAGAACCAGAAACACCAAAAGCAACAGCAGGAGTTTTGAAAAGTAAAATAAAAAAACTCTTTTTTTTCTTCACTTTACAGCCAACACATTGAATGTAAATGCACAAACAACAACCCAAACAGCAAATTATTTCAAGTTATTTCTTTCTTCGCCATCAACATCAGCTTTTTGCTTCTTCTTCTTCTTCTTCTTCGCATGCTTTTTGCTTCTTTGCTGGAAATGCATTTTCAGCCTTTCAAGCCCAACAGTCCAAGGTCAATCCTTTTGTTCTATTCTTTCAATTTTCTTGCTTTCTTCAGCTTCTCCAACCATCTGACGATATTTACCTGTAACACACTCACACACACTTACAACATTTACTCATCTATTGTTGTCGACACTCCCACAGGTTTACCTCGACCAAATGAGAAAAGGGTTAGATGGATGGCATAAGATTTAATTTCAAGAATTTCTCATTTTCCATCGTCAATTTCAATTCTGGTTTGCTTGTTGACTGCGTTTGCACTTGAAATGATGAATGGTCCAATGGAAATCAGTTTAACCAGTTTTCTAGTTTTCTTTTTTCTGGTTTAACCTTATTCTGTGTGTGTTTTTTGTTTTTCTGGGTTTTGGGTATAAAAAGAGTGGAAAAAGTATTCCAATAAAGATGAGAAGAAGAGAAAAACAGAAGAAAAAGAAATTATCTAGGAATGAATGACCTGATTTCCAGAGGAATGAGATTCTAAAGGTTACTATGGTGATTCCTCATTGAGTTCAGCTGAAAACTCCATGAACTGTGAATGAAACTGTAAATACTGATCAAACAACAGTTTCATCTCTTGGTTAATCAGTTGCCCAATATTGATTAATCAGTAAATGGCAAAAGAATGGGTTAAAAGGGAGAAGGAAAAAAACACCTTTAGCTGTGTTTCAACAGCGAAAAATCTGCCTTTTCTGTTTACTCAAAGCGATATTTAATCCAATTTGAATGTTAATCAATTTGACCTATTGATTAAGATTACGATTGATTGAGAAAAAAAACTCTACTTTTGCTGTTATTTTCCAATCACAATTCACTTTGCTTCTGTTGTTCAATTAAATAGGCTAAGAGACAGTCTGGGTTAAGGTCACAGAACTTTGCGCCTGTGTGCTATCATGAGTCTCTTTTTCAGCCTTTATCGTTTCTATCCTATTCATCTCTCAACTTTCATATCCAACAATAAACCTACAGAGAGAGAGTGAGAGAGAGAATCAGCAAGGATAAGGTGAGACTTTATCTCGACTCTTACCATGATAAGAATAACGATGATGCCCTAGATTCAACAGAACAGACGTGAAGAACTAAATTTGGTTCATAAAGTGAAGGCCTTTTTTTGTCTTCCTTTCAGTCTTTCTCTCTCACCACCCAAAACTCCCACCAACATCAATGGAAGAAAAAGTTAACTCTTTCTCTCTTTGGTATTTCAGTCTAATTTACCTTGATAAGTTCAACTTTTCATCTTGTAGGTCATTTAAATGATGATCATCATCCTTGCATCAATCATCCTCTTTTCATCCTCTTTTCATCATCTCATTCATCTGATAACCTTGTTTCCATTTTTATTACAATAGAGTTGTAATCAGTGTAAGTTAAACATTGTTACAAATGAAAAATGAAAATGAAACATTTACTTTTCCCTATCAAAGATAGTAACTCATTTGATTATCCAACACCATTGAGCTCAAACGATTAGATTAAAATGAATTTCAATTTAGCAAAAAATTATCAAATTTTCTGTCAACTTTCATTTTCCCACTAATCATGAGCAACGTTTAAAGCAACATATTGAGCCTCTGTTGGACCTTTTACATTTCAATTGACCTCTTTGCTCCAATTTCCCATCTCTTGCCAGTAACGATTGAAGGGACAAAGGCTCTAAACTGTGTCGCTTTCTCAGTGAAAGTAAAAGTACAACCACTGGTCACTTCCGTTGGTCTCTTTTAGCATGGATCGGAAAATGGGCCAAACAAGTTAACACAGTTGATTGAAGTAAAGCGTGAGTTTAAAACGGTAAAGATTGATGAAAAAATATTGAATGGCAAAGTGAATGGCATTGACCTTCACAGAGGAAGATGATGATAGGGAAGAAGAAAGAAAGGCCAAATGAAAGAGCAAATTTTAAGGTCAAAGGTTTTGTTGATCACATTTCTTTCATTTGCTTCTTCCTTCTTTTTCTCAAAGAATAAGAGCGAGAACAAGAAGAAACTTGTCTTCATCTTTTGTTAGGTTAACAGTTAACTTCAAGTCTAATCATTATTGCCCTTCTTTCCTCTTCTCATCTTAATCTTCCTCATCATCATTTACTTTCTTTTTTTCTCTTCTTCTCTTCTTTCCTTCACAACCAGATTGAACTATTTTTGGGTAAACTGAAGCTTCTCAAGGGAAGACAATAAACATCCGTATTTAAAAAAACATATACATTTAAAGCTGGCTTAGAATTGAATTTTAATAAAAAGAAACCTTTTTCTTGGTCTTCTCATTGACCCAATCATTTTTGAATAATTGTAAATGTCAATCAGTTTAATCAAATACCTTTTATCCATTGTAGCAACAGTGACAAAAGTTCATTAAATGTGTTCACTTGCCAATCCACTCGATCACATTCACTTTTTTGCTTGTATCTTGATTTTCATGATGAAATTTGCTCGAAACAATTTGCTAATTGTTTATTGCATCATTTGCTCTTGATCGACAATCAATATTACAATGAAAATTGGTTTCTATTGAAAACTCAATTTTCCAGTTTTTTGTTTTCTTTCAGCTTCAATTGTCATCTTATGCTTAATCTTGCTCGGCTTTTGGCAACATTTAACATTTATTTTTGTTCCGTTATTGGTTTATTAACAAAGTTAATGAAAGTTAATGGACAAAGTTGTTGACAAAAAATGGTAAAAGAATCGCGAAAACGAGTCTTTATTTGATTATCTGATTTCCTTCTTGAACCAGAATGCAAACACTGGAAACTCATGATTTAGTTTTTTTAATCTTTTACATTTTCCTTTTCATCTTCACCTTAAATTCATCTTGTTCATCATTTGTACTGAACATGGCTTTCAATTTGAAAATAAAGATCAACTGAAACTAGGTTATCATGTCACCAGCAAAGGAGAAAGAGAGAGAAAATGAACCTTAACTTTCTTCTTTTAGTTCAAGTTGAGGTGAATTTGATGGCTCAGGCAGCGACATCATGTACTTATCATTGGCATCACAGTTCATAAATTGTCTAATTATGGGAATTAATTTACTCAAAGTTGATTTACTGATAGATTCAATAGATAAATTGATTTCACACCTTTAACTGTTGACAATGATTTGCTATTAGCAGTTGAACAAAAGCCATTTAACATCTCATAAACCTTGACCTAAACTGCTTTCACTTCACACTCAATGAGCTTTTGTTTTTGATTCTGAAATTAATTTTCAAACGTTTTTACTGTTCAAAGAGTTCAACAGTTGATGCAACGAAATTAATTACAAATAACTTTACTCTTTTCATGGTAAATCCACTGATTTGTGTTCATCTACTTAACGTTGGTAAATTTGACTTGATCTATAAATTTTATCCTTTACATAATCAGAGGTTTGACTCGGATTTGTTTGGTGAATAACTTCGGATTGAATTTGGTATAAAATATTGATTTTCAATTTAATTTTGATTATACCAATAGAATTGATCACAATTAAAGTCATCGTCATACTTTCGCCAATTATATTGCCATTAATTTGATCCTTTGCATAGTTGGAAAGTCAATGTTTAATTTTTTCTGTTGTTTTTCTTCTGCAAGCGCAACGTTGAAAGTAGACTTCATTTAAACGGGTTTGTAACAAAATTGAATAGCACTTGTTGAAACATTTTAAAGTTCAGTTCTTTATATAAAGATACATTCATTTCAAGTGGTATTATTCAGGAAAAATTTTTGCTTTTGTTCATCTCTTGGATAAAAATATAAATATATGTGTATAATATAAATAGTGACTCTTTCCCTAAATAATTTTGGTTTATGATTTTGTCTCAAACCAAGTGTAGAAATAATAAATAGATTTGATTTCTTTCTTTTCATTATAGTTTCATTTTTAAGGCTCTTTCTTTAACCATTTAAATCGACTTTAAATTCAACTTTTCATGTAAACAAAGAGTAGTAAAATTCAGATTGGTCCATATTAGCTTGCAATTTTTTGGCCATTTCTTGGATTTTTAATCTTCTCTTGACATGCGGAGGTTGAAAGCTGTAAAAATATAAAAAAACAATCAAATCATTAGCATATATGCCATTGAAAATTGTTAAACAAATTCAAGTTCAGTAAATTTATACCTTTCTGCATCCAATCGTCGACGCCGACATAAATTAAGGCAAGTTAATCGGACAAATATGCTAAGTACACGTTGACTCACAACCATTCCGTCTAGCAGAGGAAGAGCAGTTGGTGGCCTAAACAGAAATAATCAAAACTCATCATTAGAAATTATTTCATAAAAATTAATAATCATACCTTGATAGTGAAGTGACAATCTTTACAGTAAAAAGACCGTTTTTTAAAGGATGCACAAGAATAGCAATGTAATCCTTTTTAGACAATGGATTTGTTTCAACTCCAGTATTGGTGACTGTTAATAAAGTTGCTGTAAAGGAATGAAAAATTCATTAAATTCAATGGATTCTTTTCATGTGTTACAAATTTTTCTACTTACAACTAGGAATTGTAGCTTCATCGTCAATACTTTCTAACCAGATAATCAATATTTTTGTATCACAACCAACATTACCAATAAAAGAGAGATGCTTATTTTTCTTCCTCCAGCTGTTTCGAGTTGACTCAGCTTCAGATAGATTACGGGAAAAATTTGATGTATTTGTCCCGTCATCACTTAAACTAGATAGAGATCTTAAATCTACTGTTTCAGAGCCTTCTGTACTTTTTGCACGTCCTTTAACTTCTGAATCGATTGAGATTGAATCATCTTCTGGAAGTCGTCCAGAAGGAACAATAAAGGCAATTTCATTGCAAACATCAGCCCAATATAAAACCATTTTGTTACCATCGTAGGCACTTCCACCATGGTCATCATAAGATTCTCTATCATCAGATAAACTATCATCATCGCGAGCTTTCCAAGAGGTATAAACATTACCTGTCCAACCATGATGTTGATTAACTTTGATTGAACAGCCAAGACCATTTAGAAAGTCAATAAATGATGAACTTACATAGTGTTTAGACGATACACTGTTAAGTATTTCTTGTGGATGAACTCGACCTTTACGGACGTAAAAGATAAAAGCAGTGTCAGAAGTTCGGGTTGAGATCATGTCTAGTGTTTTGATATTGTTAAAAAGTTCACTATTTTTCTTATCCAAACTGATAAGTGATGGGACTCTTGAGGTGAAATCGCAAGATTTTTGACCAGATCCAAGTGAAATGAATCCTAAGTGGGATAAAATTAATCGACTGCATTCAAGTTCATCTTTTGGTTTAGGCTGACTGAGATCGGAAGAGAAGATTAATGGAAGACAACGTTTCTCCAATTCTTTTTCACTTAAAGCTTGCTTCTCAATGATTTTATTCATCTTTTCATGATCACCTTTAAGCGTTTGATTTGACTTGATAAGATTACTTAAACTTGGAATAACCATGTCCAATTTGGTTAAGGGAATTTTTTCTAGTGATTCGGGAATAAATCGTGGGAAAACTGTTCGCCGAGTTGAAGGAGTTGAATGTGGAGGAGGTCGTGGTATTGACTCGAAAGATGACCTATCAGTGCTACGTTGAAGCGATAATACTTGAAATTTCATGGACCAACAATATTTTCCAAATGGAGATCGTATAATACAGATGCTTCTCTGAGCAGGAGGATGATTAACAAAAGCCAATAAAATTGAATTATCTGCTATAAAATATTTAAAATATTTAGACCAACTATCAACAGCATTGATGTCAACATCAACGCCTAAACCTCGAAGGATTGAAGCCTCGTCAAGAAGACAACAACCGGTAACTGTTTCAGGTGGACAAGGAGCTGGTGGACAATTACCAAAATGATTCATTAAACAAGTTAAAAGTGATTCAGCTGCTTCACGAACTCTCATAGAGGCAGGTTTCAGCTCTTTGTTTGTTTTAAGTACTAGTCCATTGGAAGAGCGAGATTTAGATCCAGAAATTCCCAATTCAATAACTTCCATCAAGGTGTCTATACATTCCCTGTCATTGAGAACACAAGAATGTTCATGAAACCAAACATTAAGACAACAATAAGCTGCCACAATAGTTGAATGCATGTCTTTTGAATGATGAGGAGGAGGTCGGGAACATTGATAGACTATAAAATCACAGATCCATTTAGTAATTAATTTGCATTCGTCAATTATCGAGGGTAATCCTGATTCAGTTTCATCAACTTCCGTGAATTTGATTCGTGCAAGAACAACGAGAGTCTCCAATGCTGCCAAAGATACTTGAGTGTCATTTTTCCAATTATTAGATAACAATTGACAAACCAAATTCAATGATCGTGAATAAATTTCTCTTGCTGTGTCTAGAAAATGAGATAAAAAAAACTGAATTAATTTTAAATGCATGGTATCGAAACAAGATAATTAAGGAAATTGCAGGGGAAATTTTCGAAGCATTAATGCTTTTTAACATCATGCTTTGTCAGTAAAAGTTCATGCGAATCGACAATCATTATTAATTAATCACATCTAGAGCATTTATCTGCATCTTAGGGAAGGTTAAATTTGGTTTAAATCTAAATGTTCATGTATTCATTAAAGATGAGCAAATGGTTAAGAAAACAGTTGATTTAATGCGGATAAGCAGTTGAAGGGTGTTTTAATTTTAAGACAAATATAACAAATACCAGGTATTCCACCCTTTCCTAAAAAGGCATCGGATAGATTGGCAAACCTGGCTCGACGATGAGCTGAGTTGTCATAACTAAACTGAGAATGGACAACCTTGTCCCTTACTGAATAATTATCCGAGCTTTTATTTGATGAGTTATCTAAAAATTTTTGGAGAAGAGATTACATGATTTTTTCCAATGGTTCAACAAAACTTTTGATTTTTAAATTGAATAAACAAATAAAAAGTGAATAGTAACTGATCAGACATACTTGACCCTTTGTTTGCTTCTTTATCCTTTATAAATGAATCTTGAACACAGACAAGAAGGCCTCCTGGAAATGATAAAAACGATTAAAATTTTGTTTTTTTCGATTAAGTGAGGTGAAAATTTACCTAATAACATTTGAACATTAAGAGAATCGTGCTCAGTTTTCAAAGCATTGATCATAAAATTGATAAATCTGGGCCTCAAAGAGCGGAATGTTATTGGCGATGAATCTGTGAGAGAGTCTGAAAAAAATAAGAAATTATCAGAAATTATTTTGAATGATTTATTAGGATATTTGGGAAATCAAAATCATACTGTTCAATTATACCTTTAATTGGTAACTCGTTGAAATGAAGCGGGTATGAGATCATGGACAACAATAGATTGATACATGCTCGTCGAAGATCAGTTATTGACGATGAACTTCTGTAATTAAAACGAAAAAGAAAGTATTAAGTATCATGTTTAAAGTAATTTAATTCAATAAGAAAATATTCTTATTCTTGATTTTGTTTATGAGTAAAAATAAATAATTTACTTGAATTCAGAATCGGAGTCATTTATAACAGTCTCCATAGCACGAAGAAAGTCCGGTATAAGTATATTGATACCATTTAAATTTATCTGAAACAGTCGAGTTCCATTTAACAGAATACTTGACAAAACTTGACCTCGAGTATTCTAAAAGTAACACCAAGAAATAATTTTGAGAAATTAATAATCCAATTTTTTCTAATAAATGTGTCGTTAAAATACCTCTTTAACAGATAGTCCATACTGCAAAGCTAAATAAAAACGAGCCAGGTATAAAGGACGAATATCTTCATCAGTTTTTTTGGAAGAGAATAGTCGACAAAGAGCTCCAATTGCTTCTGATTGTCCAGCTTCAAAATTTTCAGGAGATAAAGATGATGACAATTCAAGGCTGATTCTATCTGATCCAGCTCCAATGGAACCTTTTCTAGATGCAAAGTTATCACCTCCAGTTGTTGTTGATGTTGAACCCTCTGAATGTTCAGAGCCTTCACTAGAAGGCTCATTTTGAACATACTTGGTACCAATCATGCATGCATTAAATAACCAATTTCCCAAAGCGTTTAGAACAGAATTGATCTTAGGCTTTGTTTGATTGAAAGTTAAATTACGAAGATATCGTGTTTGTGAGGAAGTTGTAGGTGGACTTGGTGTTGGTACACTTGATGTTGTTGGAAAACTTGAGCTAGTCTGAATTTGTTGAGCTGCTTGTTGATGTTGTTGTTGCTGCTGCTGTTGTTGATGGTGCTGTTGCGACGGTTTAGATGCATGAGATAATCCTGACAGTAAGCCTCCTTTTCTGCTGCCTTTGGTAGTGGTCGATGAACCTGATTTAACACTGGACTGTTTACGAGGTGGAGGTACTATTCCAAAGCTTGATGCTGAACTGGAAATGGTTGCACCAGATTTGGTTGATTCATTATCATTTAAGTCAATATCAAAAGAAACAGGTAAGCCGAGAAAAGAGTCGACCAACATAGCTACTCCTTTCATAGCTCGATAAAATATTTGAGGGAGATCATTTAAACAAGGATGTTGTCGAGGGTCAACAACACTATCAGCAATATAATGGTGAAATTTGCAAGTTTTAGAAATGATTGCCGGTGAATAAAGGTCAACTGGATTACCAATTGTGTGGAGAAATTTGTACCATGCTTCAGAGACAATCTCTTTAGGCATTTTGTTAATTGATTGGATGCAATAAGTGGCAATGAGAGGTGATCCAAAGTCAGCTGATGAGGATGGTGATAATGATGGTGAAGTTGCTGAGTCATAAGTTAATTGTAATAATCTTTGGGTAAAAATGAAACAAACTCGACTCCATTGGTCAATCAAGGCAGGTTGGTGTCTCCAAGAACAGCAAAGATGGTGGAATGTTTTCCAATAAGATGGATTTGGGAAAAACTTATAGCATGCAATTATCCAGATCTCGAAAAGAACACTTATTACTCTCTCACAGAGCTTTGTCCGTCCAATATCTTGTTTCTCTGTTGGTGGAGCTGAAAAAATAAACGAAAAAGTGACTTATTAGTTTGATTTTACTCTACATTTAGATTCACTTATTTACCTAAAAGTGAATTATTTATGGAGAGAAGAAAAAGAAGAAGTAAATCCCAAGTTTCTTCATCCATGATATTATTTTCATCCTGTGTAATACATCCAATTGTCCTGAGAACACGGTGACACAGAAGAGCTTGACGAGAGATAATATCGTTTGAATTTAAGTCAGCTGATGCATTTTGATGGCTTGGATTTGTACTACCATTGGTATTTGTCCTCGGTATGAAAACATTATAAAGATGTTGAATAATTCGTCGATAATAGTGGTTAGGGTCATTCATGATGGGTGAAGGGATTATTTTGATTGCCGATTCATGGGGAATTAAAGCATACATCCATTCACAATAGATATGAACACAATCTCTGATTGCTTCATGTTGCTCGGTAGTATTTATTGGCAAAGAAAGACCAAAACAAATAACTTCCATAACCCATTGAACATCTCTATCTGTTTTAAGATAGTTGATTGTCTCAATATCTGATGAAGGTGGATCACTTATTGAATGCTGACCAGCAGTACCAATAGAGCTTGAGCCAGGTAGTCCTCCCGAAACAGGATCACGACTACTTGAACTTGCTTTGATCACATTGCCAGCTAATGGTTTAACAACTGCATTTACAATATTTTGACCATTAATGTACGGTAATTTATGTAAAACACTCCATCGATTTTCCTCGAAAATTGAATTAACGTTGATAATAGGCCACTCATTGCACATTTTGCTGTTATTGATGTTGCTATTTACAAAGAGAAAAGTAAGAAATAAGAAAAGTGATTAATAACAGGTGAGATTTAAAAAATAGCTCACGTTCAGAGCATGACTTTGAATTCAATATCATCAATCATAATTGTAATGTATAATAAGAAAATAAATATCTAATTAATCAGCCATCGACGACAGTGGACAAATTTTTTCCATTAAAAGTTGAAAATATTGTGCTATTACCAATTGAATGGCTAAACTCACCCATTCAGAATATATGAAAACAATTAAGCACAAGAATATGATCATTACAAAATTGTGTAGATAATGCGATTTCATCTATTGTATCTCATTGGACAATCTCTACACATTCAGGATTGATAAACAAATTATCTGGAGCAAATTGAATGTAACAATGAAATATTTGCATGAATATAATGTTAACAAGGAAATTTAATTTCCTTGTAGGAAAATCGATTCATTAAAAGTTGGTTTGATCAGCAAGCATTTCAATAAACCATGCTCTAGAAAACTTTAACCATTTAAAAAAGTTTCATTCTTACTTTTGCTCGTTTAAAAGCAAATATTGAATGCTCAGCGAATTTGAATAACATTTTAACTTGAAATATTCACATCTATCTGCTGTGACAAACCCGGTTTCTTGAAAATGAATCAAACTTGAAATTCTTTTGTCAGAAACATTAGAAACTCGTAAGTGATATTTTTTCAATAACAATTTATTGGTCATTTCCGATTGAGCAAAGTGGATCATTAATAAATGATTTGTAAGCTTCTCACGATGACAATGAATGAGGATGGTTGAGAATGAAGTCGACATTCTGCCATTTCTAAAACATTGTGAAATAATAAACTCATTCTGTTCCATTTACAATTAATAAATGGTGGATGTGATGTGGATTTAATGTAATTTAGCCTGATAAGAGTAGGAAATTTTCTACCTGTCATATTTAGACAAAATTGCTTTCTCACTTTCTTGACAACGTGTCAGTTATAGAAGTCTATTATTTTCTTTCAGCAACTGAATTAGGGGTTTTGGTGTTCAACTCTTGCTCTTCCAAAACTCTAAGACACTTTGAAGCTTTTGAAATTGGGTGATGAAAAGATGAAGAAAATACCGGCTCCATGATCACTTAGCTATTCATCATTTGGTAAATACCAATAAGATGTTTAACATTTGTCAATAAAACTTGAGATAAAAAGATTCAATTAAATGTTATCAGTTAAAAATCATATGGCAATATGAGAAAGTAATGAGATCTTCTTGTATGGAATAGACAAGTACTTGTGAGAAAAGTGGTCCAACTAAACGAAGGATGATTCAATAGTTCCTCAAGGGTTAAGCCAAATGTAATATTACTGTAAAGATGTCACAAATAGATTGTTAAATAAAAATAACATAACTCACCTGCACTGAAGACCATAGATTCATAATAAAAACAATAGCTGTATCAAGAGTAAGTCAACATTTGCATCATAACGTTGAAGTAATCTTTTCTTTATAACAAATGTAACAGTATAAACAATCAATAACAATAATATAAATTTAAGTAATAAGACTATTATTATACACTTGATGTAGTAAAAAATAATCAAAAAATATAATCAATAGAAGGCTTTAATTAAACTAAAATCAAAAATTAAAACATTTTGCTTTTTTCAGGTTACTCCTCAACTGGTTTTATTGGTTCACAGGTTCACCTTTTCACAGATGGCGTAAGTTTCTCAGCATTTTATTTAAAATGCAATTTTTCGGACAATTATTAGCTCTAATTATTAATTAAGATCAATTAAGCTTTCAAAATATCAATTTACGATTAAAAATGTAAATAAGCTCAATTTTTACTGAACGGGTTTTAATTTTGAAATCGCTTGCAGTCATGTTGTTGTTGTCACTCTTGTTTGTTTTTGTATTTTTGAAGCTTTAATCTAGTAAAATGTTTTGGATTACTCATTATAAGTAGTTGATTTACAATTAGATGATTGTTAGATAGAACGTGAATCTGCGAAAAAGTAAAATTAGTGAAAGTTAAGAATTTTTTGGTCCTAATTGAGATTTTTTCATCAATCGCTTTACAAAATGGTAATGAATAATTTGTAATTTCAAGCTGAGCGGGGTTTCTTCCTAGTGGCTGTTAATTGAACAAGATTGCGATCATTGAAATTGAGCTCATTTTTGAGTAGATATTTTGTAGATACCGAAGCTAGCGAGATGCTAACTGGCTGGCTTAATTCTGATAAAATCAAGCTTGGCTTGGCTCAGCCGGCTTGAGCTACTCAGCTAATTAAAAGGCTGATTTGGCTGAGTTTGGCTTGAAAAATTGCATTTAATTCAATTTTATAAGTTAAAAAATATCTTCGTATTTTATATTAAACATTTAACACCACTTTAATGACATAACTCAACATACTCTATCCAATGACACCTCTTTCATTCAAATTGGCTTCAGACGTTCACTTCCCTTGTGAGTGAACTTATCATAATTATCATGAGCAAATAAAATTTTATCAATTCTACATGGATTGAGTTGCCAGCGTTTTAATGAGTTAATTATTTCTAATGAAATAAACAAGATTTCAGTGCAAATTACAAGTAAAAACAGAATTTGAGAGAAAAAAACTATTTCCAAGTGAAAAAGACGACCAAATTTGTTAGCTAGCCGACTCAGCTAAATTTGAATTTGACTGGCTTGAGCCGGCTCGAGCTATTTACTTTTAACTGGCTTCAAGCACGTGAAGAAATAGCTGGCTGGCTGGCTCAATTGGCTAGCTTCGGTATCTAATATTTTGTGTGAAAAAGAAAAGATTGTCAATTTTTGCTTTGAATTTTTGTAATTTAAATATCTTGATCTAAGTGGTTTAATAATCAAATCGAGGTGAGTTGATTCGTATTCTCTATTGTATATGTATATGTTATTTACCATTTTAAGCCGCTTAGCAACTTTCCTCTTTCGCTTGAAATTTCTGCTGTTTTGGTTTATATTTTTCCATATAAATTGAGTTTTGCATTGGTTTTTATTCAGTTGCTTTCTATTTTTCAAAGTGTTAAGGTGTCTCTTTCAACCACGTGAACTTCTCATTTCATTGTTTCATCTCATTCTAACACTGTTTCTACTGTATTTAATTTTTGATAGTGCAATTCAAAATGACAGAAATGAGAGATTACATTGTCATTAAACTCAAAGAAATGGGATTCGATGAAGACAAGATTGAAAGAGCGTGCAACTCAACAACATGTGAATCGCTCGATCAGGTGATGGAGTGGATCATTGTCGAAAGTGAAAAGAGCTTAAATTCTGTTAATGAGAGCAACTGTTCCCGGTGACAACTCTGAAGCTACTAAATGTGAAGCGGATAAACTTTCAAATGCTGATTCAGGAGAATCATGAGCTGACGGGTTCTCGTTTACCCTTACCGTTCGAACTTGAGTCGATTTGAGTCCTGGCATCCAGATCTCCCTAAGCGGAGGGCCCTTGATGTCCTCAAGCGGAAATGTTTAAGACATGGCTTGTGCGTAGCACAAGTGCCTTTAAGCAAAAGTCACACCAAGAACTGAGTCAATAATTATAAATTTAATTTAATCAATTAATTTCTTTCTTAGATTTCTTTGTTTTTGTTTATTTAACTTATCAAGATTGAGTCTTTTAGTCTTCTTTCCTGACAGAATGCACCTAAGCAATGCAATTTCTTCAATTATTTTGCACGGCAACTTTGTGAGTCAATTTTAAGTACAAATGCAAAGTGTTAATTTGTAAAATCAATAATATTTTTTCAAATACTGAATAAATTTATAGTAAATTTGTAAATATTTATCATGGTAAGAAATTAAATCGGCTCTAAAGCATGGAGTATTTCAAGGTTTTCAGAATATCACAGAACTTCAAGCAATCAAGCTTTCTTTGTTCTCTTTGAAACCGCTTTTTCTATGACTAAACGCGTTATAAATTCCGGTATAAGTTCATTTAAAAGCTCCATTTATGCCGATGAAAGCGTATTCAATTTCACCATCATTCTTGGGTTAACTGATGTGATTATTCAACTGTTTTCATTACATTATAAACAATCAAATCTCAGAAGAATCGAAAACTGTTGATTGTTTTCATGGTAATCCGTAGGGTTAAAGAAACCTGAGAGCTTGAAGGGAGAAAGTTGTGAGACAAGTTTGTATATCCTTTGCGGTTCAATTGTTCAACTCTGTTTATTTTGTTTCTTGCTCTCAATATGATCAATTAATGTTGATCTTTTCTTTTCTCCATCTTTAAACATGTTAATTGTTCCATTATTGGATTAACACATTTCCCATCACATCAAGTTTATCCAAAGAGTAAGAGTAAAGTCCTCTTTGGCTCAACTTGAATGCTATAATACCACAGATCAACGGAATAATCAAACAATGATTATTTTAATGAGGCAAACAAACTCAAGTGACCGCCATTTGCTCAATTTACAATACCTAATGAGTTGCTTTACTTTGCCAGGAATCCTGGAATTTTTTGAGTTTCAGCTGACTTGCCCTCTCCAATAAGATGGCTTTTTTCATTCTTGATACCTTTGTTGTCAGTCATGCATGGCTATCTGAGAAAACATCTCGACTGACCGGAGTTATTATTGGTAAGAGCGTGTTTTTAAGATTCCAATGATTTCCTTTCTTATCAAATCACTAACATTCTTATTTTTCTTCCAGCCTTCATCATTAGCTTCATCTTAACATTGAGTAATTACTGTTTCATTGTGAGCTTGTTTACGTTTTTTTCACCTCATTCAAAGTAACCCAGTACAAGAATCACTTGAAAAGGAAAATACTGCCAAATCAAGATGAAACAAGGTGACGCAACTGGCTTCAAGTTATGTGTAATGCTGGAGTTGCCTCGCAATTTGCCATTATTTTCATGCTGGAACGAGGTATAACCAATGAAAACCCAATCAATTTCAAGTCTGACTATTACTCATCCTGGTTTGCCATGGGAGTTTTAGGAAATATCGCTTGTAATAATGGGGACACATGGGGATCTGAATTGAGTCTTGCTCTGACTCGTGGTAATCCAAGATCACTAATTTTCGGAAAGTTCCAAGAGGAACCAATGGCGATGTAACATTGGTCGGACTTATATTCTCAGGACTTGGTGGTCTGGTTATTGGATTGTCTTATTATTTAACTCTTATACTTTGTGCTAATCGTGATGTTCTACCTATTAGTCCTCCTTAATGGCCAATAATTATGGTCGGGTGCCTAGCTGGTCTAGTAGGCTCCATTGTCGATTCAATTCTAGGAGCAACCCTGCAATTCTCTGGTTTTAATCGGGAAACTGGTAAAATGGTTGAAGCTCCTGGTGAAAACGTTGAATGGATCAGTGGTATCCGGTTCTTAGACAACCATTCAATCAATCTGTTCTCATCTCTTATATTGGCTCTTCTTACACCAAAGATCTCTCAATTATTCTGGTCATGATATTTGATACCAAATGTTTCCAGATTAAAATGAAACTCACTCAAAAAACTTTCAGCCAAATGAAACTAAGCGATTTTTGAGCTCGCTCTATTCGATCGTTTTTCTATCAAGTCGTAATCAACTGGTGGATCATCAATTCTGCCAACTCTACTAGTGTAACACAAAGAAACTCCTTATAACTATCATGATTCAGCAATCAACTCATGTTTTTCTTGTATTGCTTGGTGATTTGTGGAAGTCTCTCCGCAATGAAAATCAAACTTGAACTGCCTTAAAGACACACAATGAAATGTGAATATCTTGATGAATCTTGTTTTTCTTGTTCTGTTATTACTGCAAATATGTTTTATTTACAATCGGCTTTGTCAAATATCAACTGAGCTTAACTTAAAGATGAATCAAAACGCTGATCAAAGTTCCATTTAACAGAATACTTGACAAAACTTGACCTCGAGTATTCTAAAAGTAACACCAAGAAATAATTTTGAGAAATTAATAATCCAATTTTTTCTAATAAATTTAAGTAATAAGACTATTATTATACACTTGATGTAGTAAAAAATAATCAAAAAATATAATCAATAGAAGGCTTTAATTAAACTAAAATCAAAAATTAAAACATTTTGCTTTTTTCAGGTTACTCCTCAACTGGTTTTATTGGTTCACAGGTTCACCTTTTCACAGATGGCGTAAGTTTCTCAGCATTTTATTTAAAATGCAATTTTTCGGACAATTATTAGCTCTAATTATTAATTAAGATCAATTAAGCTTTCAAAATATCAATTTACGATTAAAAATGTAAATAAGCTCAATTTTTACTGAATGGGTTTCAATCTTGAAATCGCTTGCAGTCGTAGTTAGAATTCAATTGAGTTTACCAATTAGTGTCATTTCTCTTCATTTAAAACAATTAGAGTGAATTGAGAATTGAAATAAAATATCAATTGACAGAAATTTGACAATTAGAACCATCTTAAATATTTGTAATCATCAACAATGAATTTTTGCTAATGTTTACTGTTAAAATTGAAGAGTCAACAAATATTTTGTAATTTCAAGTTTTGCGGGTTTTCTTCATAGTAGCTGACAACAGAAAAAGATTGCTTTTATTTAACCTGACGATGCAAGTTTATTTTCTTCCGATTATCAATCACCTATCCTAAATTAATTAGGACTTTTGAAATTCAACATTAAATTACTGTTTTAAAGCTATCTAAATTGACAAAGTTCAACTTCTTGTTGGTAAGTAGATTTTAAATTCTTTTCGACCTGTAAATAACGCTTTTCATAATCCAATCTGTGAAAGTCAGCTTTTGCCATTCATCACCAACTTAACCTAGGCTCTAATTGTTGAGCAAAACTCAACCAGAATATCTAAACCAGTTTGAGATGCGATTGTAAAGCTTACTTTCTAATCATTAGCGTCAGTTTGAATCTAGCCTAACATGGTTCTGTTTGGAATCGACTCTGGAAGTTTTACTCTTGTTTGTTTTTGTATTTTTGAAGCTTTAATCTAGTAAAATGTTTTGGATTACTCATTATAAGTAGTTGATTTAGATAGAACGTGAATCTGCGAAAAAGTAAAATTAGTGAAAGTTAAGAATTTTTTTGGTCCTAATTGAGATTTTTTCATCAATCGCTTTACAAAATGGTAATGAATAATTTGTAATTTCAAGCTGAGCGGGTTTCTTCCTAGTGGCTGTTAATTGAACAAGATTTCGATCATTGAAATTGAGCTCATTTTTGAGTAGATATTTTGTGTGAAAAAGAAAAGATTGTCAATTTTTGCTTTGAATTTTTGTAATTTAAATATCTTGATCTAAGTGGTTTAATAATCAAATCGAGGTGAGTAGATTCGTATTCTCTATTGTATATGTTATTTTCGTATCAATTCAATTGGTTTTACTTTAGAATCCAACATAAGACTCGATCCTTCAAGACTAATTTTAAAATCAAATCTTCGGACTTTCTATATGCTGTGGCTTAATTTTCGCCATGAAGAAATTTCTCTTTAAAATCTTATGGATTTTTAAAACGTCTGGTTGACACTCCCTCGCTCCATCAGTCCTTATTTTTGTGTCTTCTAAACTAATCTTCGCAACTTTAAAGTTATCTGTCTTTGAGTGGGTTATTTACCATTTTAAGCCGCTTAGCAACTTTCCTCTTTCTGTTTGAAATTTCTGCTGTTTTGGTTTATATTTTTCCATATAAATTGAGTTTTGCATTGGTTTTTATTCAGTTGCTTTCTATTTTTCAAAGTGTTAAGGTGTCTCTTTCAACCACGTGAACTTCTCATTTCATTGTTTCATCTCATTCTAACACTGTTTCTACTGTATTTAATTTTTGATAGTGCAATTCAAAATGACAGAAATGAGAGATTACATTGTCATTAAACTCAAAGAAATGGGATTCGATGAGGAAAAGATTGAAAGAGCGTGCAACTCAACAACATGTGAATCGCTCGATCAGGTGATGGAGTGGATCATTGTCGAAAGTGAAAAGAGCTTAAATTCTGTTAATGAGAGTAAACCAACTGTTCCAACTCTGAAGCTTGGTGACATCTCTGAAGCTACTAAATGTGAAGCGGATAAACTTTCAAATGCTGATTCAGGAGAATCATCAGTCAAAAAGGAAGTCATTAAAACTCCAGAGGAGATCGAAGCTGAAAAGCGGCGCTATGAAGAAAAGATCAAACAACGAAGAATTGCTCGGGAACAAGAGGAGCGTCAACAAGAGATAGAAAAAGAAAAAAGCCGGAGACAAACTGGTTCAGAAATTTCCAAGTATCGTGAGCAATACGAAACTCAAGAAAAAATAAGAATTGCTCAAGAAATTCGCAGAGAAAAACTTGAGAAAGAGGCTCATAAGAAAGCAGTTCTCGGTAAGTAATTTTTTTGTCTGTTTTCCAGTTTATTTATTTATTCATTGTATTAACAAATTCTTTTATTTCCATAGAGCAAATTAGAAAAGATAGAGAGGCAATGAAGAGAGAAAATCAATCCTCGCAGCCATCAACGCCATCAACAAGTGGGTCTACTCCTAACAAGGTGGTAAACACCGGTAGCTCTAGTACTGAATGTCGCCTTGCCATCAGACTTCCTGATGGAAAAACTCTCCTCCACACTTTTACCCCTAATGAGCAACTTGCCGCTGTCAGATTGTATATCCAATTGAACCGTAAGGATCTAGTCGGACCTGCCAACACTTCGCAGCCCATAAAATTGATCATGCCACCCAACAAGGTATTTACTGAAGACGATATGGAAAGGACACTACTTGATCTGGGTCTTCATCCGTCGGCAAGACTAATAGTTGCCGATTTAAAAAAACCCTTGTAGAAACATGGAGTTATGTTATGCTCATTTTCTATAAAATTAACTTTTTTACTTTCAATTTAGATTGATTAAAATCTATAATAAAATTACTTCGTGTTTACATTATTTTCATTTTTTAATTGTATACAAAGCTGCATTAAGAGCGCTGAAAATTACCATTGGATTAACGAGTTTAAACTCATGAGTTTGATAATGCCAACAAACAAAATATTTACCTAAGATAGGGAAAGGACACTACTTGATCCGGGTCTTGATCTATCGGCAAGTTGCCGAAAAGCTGAAGAAAGCCTTTGCTGAAAGATGTCTTCCTTTTTCCTTGGTTTAGATTGAACAAAAAAAACTATAAAAATACTTTGTTTACATAATTATTTGCATTTCTTAAAGTTGAATAGTTTGATTAAAAGCGAATGTTTAAATAAAATTGGAATCAGATAGTTTTAATTAAAATCAATTGCAAATTTAATCGTCGCGATGTGTGTGTTAGAGATTTTAACTATCGATTTAACAAATGTTTAACTCGTCTTTAACCAGCTAGAGATTTTATATTTCGATAAATTTGTGGTAATGCCATTCAAAGAAATTTCATCAAAGGTCTAGTGATTCAAAAATCAATACCAAGGAAAGTTTATTACGAGTCTTCGTAGAGTTGCATTTAAGGATTGTTGTTGGAATTATTATTATCATTTGGTGGATTAGCGCCATTACCACCTACATTTCGTCGAATCTGATCATATAATTCAGGATTCATGTTTTCAAATTGTCGAGCTAGTTGTTGACCGATGTTCATCATTGTGTCTAAATTAAATCCTGACAAAGGATCAGTTGGTAAGCCTCCAGGACCAGTTGGAGGAGCCCCTGAGCCGGCATCACCAGCTGGTGGAAAATTACTTTGAAGATTAGGGATACCGGATGGAGCCCCAGAGGGTACTCCGCTTGGAGCTCCGGAAGGAGCACCGGGAGGAGCTCCAGGGCGCCCACCACCAGCAAGCGAACCAAAAACATTGCTCATCATATCGCGTACCATGTTTTGCATATTAGGATCTTGAAGAATACCTTCGGCGACTTGAGCGATTGCTGGGTTTTGTAGAATGGTTGAAAATGGATTTGTCCTCTGGAAAAAAATTGTTTGAAAAAATTAAATGAGATAAGATCGAAGATAAAAGATAATATTTGAAACTAACCTCGAGCTCGGCAATGTTATCCTCAGCCACTTTGAGGTTACTAGCATAGCTATCATTGTTAGGATCGAGTTCCAAAGCTTTTTTGTAATTCTCTCGAGCAAGATGGTGGTTATTCAAATTAGCATAAGCTAAGCCCATCCGTCCATAGGCTTTACTGTAGTTGGGATCTATTTCAATGGCTCGTCGACAGTCTTCAATAGCAAATGTATGTTGATTCAATTTACTGTAAGCAGCAGCACTGTAAAATGAAACCAATATTAAAAATACCTCATTAGCATGAAATAACGATTGGTTAACGTTAACTTTTGATTAGGTGCAACGTATTCATGGTAATTTTTATGCAAGTCACTGACTAATTATTACACCATGAACAAAATTAAAGACTGTACAAACCAATGCTAGAGATGAGAGTGATGACTAAACATCGAGATAATGATCGATTGATTTGAAAGATGACAAGCTGGACTTTAAATGAAACTGCCATAAAAATTAATATGACATTGAACATGGCATGTAGCATTTTTTCAGCATTAAACACGATTATTTGTTGCGATTAAATAAAAAGAAACTTATTACAAACTAACCGGTTACAGTAGAAAACAGCATTCTTAGGATCCAATTTAATGGCTTTAGTGTAAGAGTCCAATGCATCCTTATATTGTTCTACCTTCATTAGATCATTTCCCCTTGTTTTAAGGTATTCTGCTTCTCTGCGATCTTCTTCTGATACAGGCTCATCGGTATCCTAAATTAAACAGTAAAAACGATAAATTAAAAGTAAATGTCTATCCACAGACAAAAAGTGGTATAAAAAGACAGAAGAAAGAAGTTCATGCTATACCTTGCCTATTGGTTCGTTTTTGATGGCATCTTTGAAAATATCAACCAAAGACCGAGATGGTAAAAGATGAACATCACTTGAGCTAATACGATAAACTGTTTCCAAACACTGAATGGCAACTGGAACAAGAACAAGGCGAAAGTGTCGAAAATTGAAGGAAATAAAATCAAAAGTAAAAATTAAATACGCTGTCAACAAATTTATTAAAAATTTATGATTGTAAAACAAAGAATCTTACCCTCTAAGCCTTCTTTATCTTCACCAGTCAAATCATCACTTCTTAATTGGTCACCAAGATATTGGACAATACTTGCTGCTAAACGTTTCTCAAAAGACATGATTAAATTAGTTGATTAAGATTTCAAAAATTGTTTTGAACAATTAAACTTATGTTATAATTATAAAATGAGTGATAATGTGAGTAAGCGTTAAATGAAAAATTACTTGCTTCTGGAGGATGAAAACAGACTCTCACTTACAGAGGCAGACGCGGGATTTTCACTTTTCTCAATGTGAATTGAAAAGCTTGAACGATTCCGCTTCAAAATTGATTTTTTTATCGCAAATAATTTTATTCTGGTATAAAGTTCAAGTTTTAGTTCAATTCGAATCTGATTCTGGCCTATAATCCTCTGTAGATAAATAACAAAGACATTAAATAAAAAACTCTAGTTTCAAAATCTGCTGCATGATAATTAACGAAATGCTTCTAAAGACATACTTTTAGTGTCAATCTTTTCTTTGATTTTAGACAGTAATAGTTGCCTTCCAATCGTGATGATTTGAATTTACTCGCCACCTGTTGTTTAAAAATAAATAGCAATTTATCAGCGCTTCCAAATGAGATTTATTGATTGGAATTCGTTGATGGCAAGAATCTTTGTACAAAATTACAATTTTTAAATTTACAATCAAAATTATATAAATTTACATGTATAAAATATTTTAGTTTTGGTATTGTTTATGATGAAGATTTTTAACTTTACTCATACTCTCGATTTCAAAATGAAAAAGATATCCTTCAAGATGAAATTTTTGAAAATTGGAAATCCGTCAGAGTTGTATCTTTCAAGATTCATAAGATGAATACAATTCACATTACCTTTATAATACATTGACAAGCTGCAATGTTACTTAATTTTTTTGGCACTCAAATGTTCAGTGTCATTAGAATTATCTGAATCACTTGAATCGCCACTACTAGAAGATGATCTTCTTCTATGCTTTTTCTTAGATCTTTTGGATTTATGTCTGGATTTTGATTTTGACTTTTTTCTCTTTTTCTCTTTTCTTTTACGGCTATTAGATCTTGCTGTATATCTTTGATCATCGCTCATTGGAGGTAGAGCAGGTCCATAAGTACTTTCTGATTCGACCCCATCCGCTCCTGAAATGATCTGAATATCATTGTCTTCTTGATCCTTTACTTTGCGATCAACTTCTTTTGGGTCAATTTTATAAGAGATAGATTTGCTTAGCAAATCTAAATTGATTCCTGAAAAAATTCCAACTCTAGAGGAGCTTGATTTGGGCTCTATCACTTTATCGCGATGAATGATGTCACCGCCTCCATTACTCTGGTTCTTCGTTGAATCTTCAATATCTTTAGAGGAATTTGCTTTTTCCATTTTCTGCCGTGAATCCTTTTTTTCTTCTATCTTGTCATCATCTTTTCTTTTTTCACTTTCTTCGTCAGTATCTGATTCATCAGAAGCAAAAATGGCTTTAAAAAGGTCTAATGGAGGACGTTCAACCTGCTCAACAATTTCTTCAGTATCAATTGAAATGAAATCGGGTGGCGCGGAAGCATTTCCAGGTTTTTCTTTATCTTTGCTTGTAGAGCTGGAAGAAGAAAATTCAAAATTTGGTTGAAATAATGAGCTAAACAGTTGAGGTTTCGCTTTTGTTGCATTTGCTCTCATGCTCGCTGTAGTCCCAGTATTTTGGCCAATATGAAGTACACCAACAACATCAGGAAATTGTGGATACGGATGAGGCACATTAAATCTTTTACAAAGTAAAGTGTGTGGATGCCACTGGAAAGTTTCTCTATTAGTCAATCCTATGGTAGATTTAACTTCTTGTTGATCATTAGTTACTGCTTCTTTTTTAGTTGGAGCTATTTTACTAGATTCTGTTAGTCCAGCTTCAAATTTATCTTCAGTTAGTTCTGAACTGCGAACAAATTTATTAGCAAAATAAGCGCTTAGGGGGTTTGATGATGCACCTTGTTGTTTAACTTGCATTTGTTTACTATCTGATTCAACAGGGACTTTCTCGTTCTCGACTTTCAGTTTTTCTTGAGTTTTTTTCAAACCTACAACAATGTCAACTTCCTCACCAAGAATTATAGCTCGAGCATTAGCATTCATTTGAGGTTTCATTTCGTGTTTGTTCAGTGATTTAGGAGATGCAATTGTACTTGGAGCACTTAAATCCATTGATTTATTCTGATAGTTTTCTTTAGTTGGAGGTGGCTGATTCCAACGAGATGCTCGTTTACTTTTCAAGAAAGGTGGATGAGGTCGCCAATTTTTCGGTATCTCAGGTAATTTACTTTTTGATGACTCAAGTGGATCGATTCTTGTTACTTTCACAAAACCTAATAGAGAGCCTTTGTTTGAATAAGTAACAGCTGAGGTACTAGGCTTTGGCTCGTTCTTTTTTATCGAGCCAATTTCAAAATCATAGTTTGATAAATCTTCTTTCGAATAAATTAATGCATCATCAGCATAGTCATCATCGTCTTCTAATGCTCCATAACCAAACGCTTCACCAGTAATTTTTAAACGTTTATTTCCACTAAGAATTGCCGTCAAAGGTACTGCTTTTTCTAACTCATCTGAAAATCCTGATTTTAAAGGTTTATAACCGATACCAAAAAAGTCGTTTTTCGGTGTATATGGAAGTGAAAAAATTTCTGCTTGCACGATAGGTTCATCAATAAAGTCATCATTTTCATCGTTATTCCTAGTGAATTCTGGTGGTATACTACATCCGTAAACTTTTCCGGTAGACTAAAAATAAAAATCAGTTTCAAAATATATCGGAGAAAGTAAAAGATGTTAAACAACGATTTAAAATTAATCAAAAATACTTGTCTTTTTAAATTACCTTTGGTTTGAGAAAAGCTCCCTTGTATCTTCGGCCTCTTTTCATAGCGGTAAAAAGTCTAACACCAATCGATTGAGTTGTTGGTTTTATGATGTCTCTAAGAACATCAGTGAGAGATGCTTTTGGGTCTCGAAGACCTGCGAAAGCTTCTGTTTGTGGTCCTTTGAAATCATCTTTAGTATGAACTTTTTTCGGAGCTATGCCAAATAGACTGAAATCTTCATCGTCCATAAAATCTTCTGGCTTACTCTTGACCAACTTTTTATCCCATCTTTCTTCCTTTTTTGATACATATTGTGAAGGTATCCAACCTTTCTCGGTTCCAACCGTATTGAAATATCCGGCAGAAAACCCTCCAGTAAAAGCTCCATGAAATCGACGACGACCCTTCCAATCTCGTACAGTTAGATCAAGTTCGGGTTTTTTACTAGCATTCTCATTATCTTCCAATGGTGGCAACGGAGTTCCATAAACAAATTCCTCGTCTTCGTCATCCATAGTTAAAAAGAGTACATTCAATTTCTTATATACCGGTCTATAAAAAAACTGATTCAGAAAATGGATAGATAAAAACTAATGAACACAATCAAATTTAATGGTTCAGACTAAGTTAGAGGGGGACTTTCAAAACACAAATCAAGTTGAAATTCACCAATTTACAGCAACAAATCAACAACAATTCTTGTTACTAAGGAAAACAAGCAAGCCTTGGAACAAGGAAATCAGCTGATACTAAATATCACCCTTATCCTTAAAATCATCTGTCAACCAGAACCAGAAAATCCTTTTAAATAGCTAAATTGAACCTCGACCTTGATGTCAACCCAATCATGGTCATGTTATATTATTTAAATCTATTGTTTAAAATTAGTTTATAGGTGATTTTTCAATTTATAATTAGGATATAATTAATTTAATGTGATTCAACAAATTATTAGTAAATTTAATTTTAAATGATGATAAACTGTCCGAACGAACCAAATTGTAAGTAGGCTTTTTCCATTCCTTTGTTCTTTCAGACTGCTCTTGTAATGGATCCTGTTATGTCCGGTCAGTTCTATTAATTTTATTGTTTATTCAATTTGCTGTTCACTAGTATTCAAGCATCCATTCATGATGTGGTCCCGTTAAATTAGAGACAATTCAATTCTAAGGAATAGTCTTGATATACCAGGCTTTGTTTTATCTTTACCAGCAATCAATTTATAGTTTCTTTCAGTCTCATGCTAATTATTTGAGTATTGAGATTATCTCTCATAATATTCAGTAGCTTTTGCATTGTGTTAGACTATCATTATTATTCTAGTAGCTATTAGCTTACTATTATCAGTTGTCCATTGTAACTACTAAAAGCAGTCCTTATTAAATACGCAGTGAGATTTATTGAAAGCTACCAGAAAGATTTGGTTACTATCGACTAGAAAATTTTCATGAAAATCAGATAAGATCAAATATTAATATCAAAGAGTTGATTTGGAAAATAAAACAGTTTGATCACATTTTTGTCTGTATAGACCATCACCCCATCTTTGTTGGCTTTTAAAGCACGTCTCTAATATTTATTTTTGTAAGTGCTATACTAACCATCGGAGTTCTTATTAATTTCAATTTCCAAGTAAATGCTATTGTTTATGACGATCTTTATGACTGTGTTTATTTAAATTAATCACGTTATTGACCAGAATAAAGATAATGTGTGAAAGATAGAAGAGTAAAAGATCTTGTCAAACCTCTTTCTTACTCAATCTCACTTGTGTATCCATTCTTGAAACAAAACTTTGTAACTGTGTATCAACTCTAGTCTTACATCTTTATTTTTTTGTCCAGTCTATTTATAGTGTCCCAGTTAACCAAATTCAAATGATAATCCTCTCCAGGTATGGAGAGAATATATAAACTACAAATCCATAGCAATCAGAACAAAGGTAAGTGTTTAAATTCAAAAGCTTTAAAACGAAAGACTAGCCATAAAAAATCAGGTTTAATATTTTCCCCTTCATTCTTCTTTCTTTTCTGTTGCTAACCTGATCTTTTAACATTTATTTGTTCGACTTTTTGTCAAACTCTTCTCTGTTCACCTCAATTTTTCTGCCTCATTTTACTCCAACTCAGAGGAACTGCTGATAAGCCATAAAGATGCTGCTGATTTTAAAATTGATGATATTTTAGAGATATATTCTGATGAAATCAGTTACAGGTGAGTTTTGTTATTTCCAAGCAAAATTTTAAACCTTTGGTACAAGTATCGTCTAACTCATTGATCTTTTTTTTCCTTAGCCATTTATTGCTATGTGTTAAAGGTTACTTGGACCCTAAAGATGTTAAATCAAAGGATAAACCGTGTATTAGTGTCGAACAATCGATCGCAAGCAGTTTCCATCTGCGTCCTTATCTGGACGTTAAAGTTAGAAAGGTCAATCCAAAGGATGTAACTCTTGATTCAGTTGAATTAACTTTCAAGGATCAATACTTATCTCGTAGTGATATGTGGAGGTTGAAATGCCATCTTGTCAAAACTTGTATTTACCTGAATAAAACAGTCACTTTCTCAGGTATAAGATGTACTGTTTTCGAGATGTGGTCTCAGGGGGAACGTGTTGCTTCTGGCTATTTAAGCTCAGATACAAAGATCGTTTTTCGGTCAGCCTCTAGTATGGTTTATCTTTTTATACAAATGAGTAGTGAGATGTGGGACTACGACATAAATGGTGATCTTTATTTTGAAAAAGCTATAAATGGATTTCTTTATGACCTTTTTGCCAAATGGAAGGTAAATTAAATATTAAATAGAATTGATTCGTTGATAACTTTTTTTGCTGTTTGACTAAACAACTGACATTTTTTTTTGCTTCATATTATAGAGATTTAATTGCGCACACGATGTTACCATTGTTTTGTTTTCACGGACATTTTACAAGGCCAAAAGCACGGATGAATTTCCACCGGAGATGAGAGGATGCCTCCAACAAGACTATAAAAATAGATTCTATGAAGATTTTTATCGAGTTGCTGTTCAAAATGATCGTCTTGACGATTGGGAACCAGTTCTCGTTCTTTTGAAAAAGCTTTTTAACCAATATGAAAAAGAAGTGTTGCGTTACCATGAAAAGCCCGGAGTTAAGATACCCAAAGCTTTCAATTCAACATCATCGCAGGGTAACTTTCTTGAAGTTCTGAATATGTCATTGAACGGTAAGTTTTCCTCAACACCAATCTAGAGTCAGACTAAACATCATTTGTTTTTTTTTCTTTTTCTCAAGTCTTCGAGAAACATTACTTAGATCGTAGTTTTGACCGAACAGGACAGCTCTCTGTAGTTATCTCTCCTGGTGTTGGTGTATTCGAAGTTGATTTCGAGCTCAGTAACATAACAAAACAACGAATCATTGACAATGGTATTGGAAGTGATTTAGTTTGTCTAGGTGAACAGCCATTACACGCAGTACCTCTCTTCAAGGTAATATCAAATTCATTTTCTTTGCTTCATTGCCTGTTCATGCTAACTTATTTCTTCTCACTCTAGTTCAATCGAGGAAATTCCTCTCCATATCCATTAACTGCTGCCGATCTCTTCAATATGCCTCACTGGATAAATTTAAGGTAAATCTACTGTTACAAAAAAAATACATCCTTTTCACTATTCGAACGAATCTCTTTGATACGAACTAACAGATTTTTGAATTTGTTTATTTTTTTACAGTTTTTACTCATCGACTAACAATCACTTTTGCTCAAGTTATGTACCTCGTATTAAGATGCCAAACATTTTACCAAAGAGTGAAAAACCCAATTGGAACAATAAACCTAATCTTTATCGCTCACCCAGCAGAGACTTAACCTCAAATGACTCAGCCAATAATTTCTGTCCAATTATGTCGGTTCTTGATTATGATCAATACGATGAAAAAGTTTTCAAGGCACAATCCCATCTACCATCAGTTAACTCGTAAGCTTTCATTTTTGTGTACATCTCGAGATTAAAACTAATTTCACTTCTAATTATCTTTTTTAGTACGTGCCAACCTTCTACTCGAAGAAAGTCTACCATGGGCTCTCATTTCCATCTTGCTGAATATTTAGAAACAGATCGTAATAATCAGCGGAGAGCTTCAGATGCATTAGCTTTTGGTATGGAATCAAACACTTCATCAAATTCCAACTCTATGTCATCAGCTATGTCTATTCCTGCAAAAAACAATTCTCAAAGTGCTTCTAGTCATGGAACTTTATCCACATCTGTTGAAAGTAAAACAAATAAAGGTAACATTTCGATTAATTAAAATTTAAATTTTCAATAAATATTTCATAATAATCTTTTCTTTCCAGCCCTCCGACTTAAATTAGAATCAAAAGATGATCTTACTCTTCATAGGTATAACAGTTCGACACTGCCATATAGAGATAGAACAGCTGCATCAAGGCCGAAAGCCTTAATCAACCCATTTGACCCTTCCCATGTTTCTATAAAATTAACTTCCAACCGTCGTCGATGGACACATGTTTTCCCACTCGGTCCTACCGGTATTTTTATGCAACAACATCATTATCAAGCGGTTCCACAAAATACTGCTAGTACTTTACTTCCATTGCCCGCATGTAACCGCAAATCTCGAAACAGTAACAGCGAAAGTAACAATGAAACAGGAGACCTTGGAACTCACCAACAACCCAAACATCCTCGAAGTGATAGCTACTCTTCTGCTGGTCGTAGTCTAAGTCCAAGTGGTGAAAGTCCTCACTCTCTTGAATCAACACGTTCCAAAAGAGTAGGTAGTCGAACAGCTTCAATCATATCAGCTGATCCACACACGGATAAAAGTCTTACATGGGCATGGGGAGCTACTGGTGAGCAAGAATGGACTCCTGCGATAACAACAGGAGTAGACTGGAAATCACTTGTTATTCCTGCTTGTCTCCCACTCACTACTGACTTCATACCAGACAACCGAAGTTTAGATAATGATTATGTTAATTCCGAGTACAGTTTGCTACCAGAATCTATTATTCCAGTTAATGATTATTCACGACCGGGTGATGGTGATTTGGATAATAAGCTTAGCCGGTCTCCATTAACAACTACTCAAGTTTTCAAAGAACTTATTTGTCAAAGACTTCAAATGGGTTTCCAAACGATTGTTTATCCTAAAGACAACGTACCCAACTCAATGATTTTAAATCATGACGGTGATCCATACGATCAAACTCTGAGTATTGGTAGGATTTTTCATCGTCTCAAGTTAGAAAATTCAATGGTTTACGTAAGAGTCTATAGACCTCGTCATCCTTATCCTGTTAAAAAAATCAATTATCCTTATCAATTCCGAGCTCCTGACAATGAAACGTATGGAGTGTCTTGGGCTGGTTTTGCTAGTGAAAAGTTGGAAACTTATACTTGGAGTTATTTGGATAATTATGTTTGTGCTCGTGGTGAAAATGAGTATGAACTTAAAGATGATCTCAAATATTGGAGACTTCGTATATTAATTTTACCCAAACGTGAATCAATTACTCGTAAGGTTATTGACTCACTTTATGAAGCAGACAATTCTGATCCAACTTGTGAACTTTATCCTGATTGGGATATTGAAGAAAAGTATCAATTACAAGAAGGATTCTTAAAGTTTGTCGAAATCATCAACAACATCAGGCGTAATGTAACATCAGGACGACGAATTATTAGTGATACTCATAAAAACACTGAAAGTAAACGTCGATCAGGTATCTGTCTAAAATCTATAGTACTTGCTAACAAAATTTTAGAAAATGGTTCCAAAAAGGATCGACTGTTATCTAACAACTTAATCAATGTCAGGAATAAACTAACCGGGAAATCTGAGACTCGTAATTTTACTAACAATCGTGATGAATTAGATGGTAACACTTCTTCCGTCATTGCCCCCGTAACAGGAATGAACATATCAGATCTAATGGACAAAGCAGATCAAGAAGATTACATCGAAACAACTCCAACTAAAAAATTAAGCACCAATATGTCTTACAAAACACTGGTGGAAAAATTAAAGAACAGTAGCAAGTAAGTTGTTAATTTAATTGTTAGATTGGTATAGATTGTTTTTTTTGGATTTCAATATTTATCGGCATCTAAATCTTTCTTTACAGTGTTTACTATTTTGGTAAAGATCTCGGTCTCCCTGAGTTCACATTTATAAGTGCTGAAGCAGTTTCATGGGCAATCGAATCGATTGATGGCGTGTTCAACGAGGAAAGTGCCTGTGATCTCTTTCAAGAAATGATAAACTCTAAACTTATTTGTCATGCATCTGGTTATAATGCTATTCAGTTTGAGCATGGTTTTTATTTCTATTTTATCGTGGATAAATCTAATGAAAAATTAATCGATGATGATGAGAGCAAGTACGAGCTTTTTAATCGCACTTGGTTTGAAGTTAAATTATTGCCAGCTCGAGTTTCTGGTCAAAGTGAATGGTCTAAACCTCCTTCAGAGATTATAAAGCTTAAAAAATCAATAAGTAAATATTTATATTTAGCCGAGTTCTGTATTATTTTGTAATGTTTACTAATCACACATTTCTTCTACAGTGAAATTCAACAGAGCAGTGATTGATTTAGATTCAACAAGTGAAGATGGTCGAGTTGAATGGATGCACGCAAAATATCAAGCAGCTTACCATCCAGATTATTCATATGAAATGGAGCTTCAATGGATGGTTGCCACAAGTTATCAACTTGTTGAAAAAGTGCAACAATGGGCTCGTAAAACTGGAGCTGGAGGATTTCATTTTGTGCCTATTCCAAATGATCCTTTTGCTTTACCCTTTGAAAGTAAATCAGACCCGTTACGAGGTCCTATTTTTATACAGCTCAATTTAGATGAATTACCGCCCAAAGCTAGACAATATCTTCAAGGTAAGAATGGTTTATCAGAATGAAAATTACGATCAATTTATTGTTCATAATTTTCTTAATGCTAAATCCGTATGAATACAACCATAATTTTTCCATTTTGCTGATTTTTTTTGTTATTTTCTTCTATTTTTTAGGTGATAATTTAATAAATTTCCGTAAAGATATTCTCAAGAGATTTGGATTTTTAACTTTTAGTGAATCAGGTCAAGATCAACGTCAACAATTTATTCATGTATCTGGCAGTATTTTTGTCCTTTTACCTGACACTTCAAGTTCAGATACAAAAGTACAAAAGGGATCATCAAAGGTATTTATCTAACAGCAAAACTTCAATTTTGTATCATTATCTTATTAATACATCTGATCTCATTTTTACCAACAACTTATAGAATGAAGATATTTGTAGTCCCCATGAAGAGTACATCACAAGACATTTTTCTGGTGTTAAACAAACAGATAGGAATGGATTGGAAGATATAAGAGTAAGTTTTTATTTCATCGGATCATCTTTTTTCAGTGCAGCCAGAATGTAACTGAACTTTTGTAACCAATCCTCTTAATTTGACACATTTTTATTGACCTTTCACTTTTACCACAGAATGGATTCTTATGGGCATGGAATTATATGATTACTAAACGATGGAAGAGTAACGTTACTGGTGATGAAACTTACATGAGACGATTCATGAGGAATTTCCGACGTTTTTGTCTGAATACTGGAGGAAGATTGGTTGCTTTTTGGAATGAATATAGTAAAAATGAGATTAAAGACGCATCTCTGGTTATTGAATCAAGTGTATGATTCAATTATTTTGGATTAATATTGATTGATTCTACTAAATGTGACAAAGTGAAACCTTAACTGCATAAATTTATTGTATAATTTAATGCGAAAGAGAGCGAAAACATTTAGCCATAACAATCATACGTACCTGATGTTAATTAATGATGATAGTTGACATCTTACGTTAATCCATTGTTTCATAAACATTCAAATACTTTCTCCTTTCCTTTGAACCACAAGACGTTACGATTATTAGTTTGACTATAATGATCATCTTTGTTACTCACTTTTGATGGAATAAATTGCTTTTTTAAATAGAAACCTCTCATTCCATCATTCCAATCAACATGATAAATAAATTTCAAAAGATGTGATAACTCTTTTTAACTTTGATTTTTGGTTGATGAAATAAACACAATGTTCAATGTTGATTTCAATGTTGTGACCATTTTTTGAAAAAAAGTTCCGTTTGAATCAAACTATTAAAGCTAATAGCAAATATTTTCATGGTTTGTATCACTATTATCAGAATGCTATTTATTATTTTCACCGATAATTCTAATTCTGAGGAAGATTTGGCTTTTATTCTTTATAAGCTTTACATGATCAGTGAATCTAGATCCTATTCAAATGGAGATAATCAAAAGGATCGAACTGTAAGTTGTAAATTGATTGGTGGAGGCTAAGAGGCATGAACATAAAATGATCATTTTTAATCATGATTAGAATTGTTGGCGATTAATGAATTGATTGTAATATTAATTGAAAAAATAATAAAAATTTATTGAAATTGATCACATTAAATTGTTTTACAATGATAGATCATTTCATTTCACTGATCTTGTGAACAATGGATAAAATTTTTAACATGAAATATAATTGTTACATTTTTTTTTGGTAATTTTTTCATCATTTGCATCAATTTGATTGTGCATTTCAATTAACAAAATGCATTGAGTAGAAAAAGGATTGAGTTGATTGAATAAAAAAGGAAAGAAAGGAAAATTGGATGATTAATAATTTAAAAAATCCGTCTTAAGTAGTTACCATGTTTATCCTTAATTTTTTAAAGCAATAGGCCATCAAAAATATGGTTGTTGGTTACCAGATTTAACAATCATAATAGATTTCATAAATAATCAAGAAAAATTATAAATATATTGATAATGTGAGTCAATCAAATAATGTTAACAGTTGATTGTGATGAATGGGCAAGAAAAGGTATCGCTGAAGTAAAAATGAGGTATCATCATGTTCAACTGATTAACATGTTTATAGATTGTTACTACTTTCTATTATCAGTATTTATAATTATAATATTTCTATCATTTATGATCACTATGATTATTAACACCAAAGGAACAAGAAAGTAATTAACTAATAATTGAATTAGAGGTTAGTCTTAATAACGTTTGGTTGGCTTGGTGGTTGATGGCTTAACAGCGGAAGAAGGTTTAACGGAAGGTGATGATAATGGTGAAGATTTAGATGAAGTTGACTTTGGTGTGAATGAAGATGATGATGAAGGAGAAGATTTTGATGATGTTGTTGAAGCAGCAGCAGCAATAGGAACTCTAAGGGTGACAACTGATGAACCATAGCCAGTCATTTGCTGTTGGTCAGCCATTGACATTGAACCTCCCATTCCGTAAGATCCACCACCCATTTGTTTCTGTTGAGTCATTGGTGAACCACTTTGACCATATCCGCCTCCTGAGGACATCATCATTGGGCGTCCAGCGCCATACATGCTTCCACTACCTCCATTCATTTTCATTTGCATGGGCATACCGGCCATTCCGTTCATGGAACCACCATAACTTGCACCCATTGGTTTACCTGAGCCTCGACTCATTCCCATTCCCATTCCCATTCCTTTGCCGTTCATCATTCCGTAACCAGACATTGAACCGCCCATTGAACCTGTCATAGAACCTGCCATTGGGCCTGCCATTGAACCTGCCATTGAACCACCGTTCATTTTGTATTGACCCATTGGTGTTGCTTTGGCACCACTAGAAAACAGATGAGATAAAGATTGAGGTTGAGATTAGATTTTGATTTGTTAATTTTTCCATGAGTGTTACTTACCCCATTGAATAGCCACCGTTCATGCCCATACCCATAGCCATTGGTTTCATTGTCATTCCCATTGATTTGTAAGATGCAGGTGATGCTGGGTAACCGCCGTTCATTGCCATTGAGCTCATTGGTGATTTCATTGCCATCATTGGTGATCGGTAGGCTGATGAACCTCTTGATCCTGAGCCACCCTTGGTTCCTCCTGCTGCAACTGGTGATGGAGCTGAGTAAGCTGGAGACATTGTCATGGACATTGGTGATGCTGAGCCACCCTTGGATCCACTCATTGCACCCATGGACATTCCAGACATGCCGTTCATTGCTCTCATTCCTCCCATTCCACTCATGCCGCTCATGCCACCCATGCCGCTCATTCCTCCGTAACTAGAGCCTGAACCAGATCCAGCGCCTAAAATTTAGCAAAAGAAAATTGAAAGTAAAAATGGTTATTTGCAAGAAAATTGAGTTTCGTCACCAGTTGAAAGGATGAAAGAAGTTACCCACCATACTGAGTGGTTCCTAAATAGGGAAGCGCTGCTGATGGGTCTATTTAATAATCAAATCAGTTAACTGTCTAAACTAAAACTTGTTTCACTCTTTTTCAAATTAAGCTTTTCTCGAATTTAAATTCTTACCGTATGATGATCCAGTTGATTGTTCCTGAGTTTGATAGTCTGATCCAGCTGAACCTGATCCATAATCTGATCCACCGGCTCCACCTGAACCATATGATGATCCACTTCCACTGCCATAAGATTTAGAGCCAGGGTTGGTCATTGCTGGTGGTTTTTCAGCCATAATCATAACATCAGCTGGGTCTTTGTTGTCAGTTCCTGGTTCGTTGGTTTTGATTGTTGCTTTGAATCCATCAGCGCCAGCAGTATATTCAACTTGTCGGTAAACACCATAAGCGTCCATGTAACCATAATTTCCCTTTTTGTTTCCATAAGCATCACCTTCTTCCATTTGGTAGTGTCCATTACCGTAACCATCATCAACCTTATAATCAAAGGCATAAGGTCGAGGAGGCTGTTTATAAGATAAAACAAGCAATCAATTAGATTGAGGTAGCGACATTTGGAAACTTGGGCTTAAATATAACTCCATCCTCTATCAATCCTTTAGCTTTTCAACTAATGACCTGAATCACTCAATTTCGTGTGTAATTGCATAATTAACTGTAGTTGATCCTCTCATTATCAGCGTTAATAATTTAATCAAATGAAAACACCTTTCAATGTTTGAATGATGGAAAGTAAAGTTTTCAATCGATCACATGAAAACATGATGATAGTGACGGAAATGTATGCATCTTTATTGTTGCTATTATCGTGTAAACAAGTGTTAAGTGATGTTCACCAAAACATCTACACCATCACCAGAAACTATCCAATCAATCAACTAAATAAAGCTTTTCAATTCGCTGTGTGTTTTCATATTTTGCCTAAATGCATAATCTTTAGAGTGTAACATGTTAATTACAATCACTATTTTCTTTATAAATGACGATTAAACCTTATCTATCTAAATTAAAACAGATTTATTCAAATTATATTAGATGCGGAAAAAATTATCTCATCTAATTCCCTAAAATCAGCTAACCCTCGGGCTTTTGCATTTAAAATAAAAGATGAGTCTCTCTTTTTGTTTCTTACTGTACTTTTACTTGTAAAAATATGTATGAATAGCTATTTCGCTCATTTTTCTAACTCGATTTATTTATTCTGTTCCAAATTAGTCATTATTTTAATCTGGTTATAATCACTTTTACTTTGTAATTGTTGAAGAAATCAAATTAAATTCTGATCAATAAACAAGTAGATTGATTGTCGAACCTATCAAACATCATCTGTTTCCCTCTTTTTTTGTAAGTGAATCATTGACATACCATTGTCTGAAAACTATTGTGTTGATGTTTTGTGTTTAACATTAATTTAATCCTCATAATTTCAACTGATGCTGATGAAAGGAACCATACAGTGGCTCAGCTGGTTACATTTTACAATCCGATTAGATCTAGCTCATCATCACTTTGTTGGCCTACTTGTTAACCTGACTTTCCCTCTTTAACATCAACACCTCTTAAAGTGATTTCAACAAAAGCACTATTGAGTAAGTTAACCATTTCCGATCAATATTAATAACTGACTAATCGCCTCTATTATCATCTTAAAGTGTCAATCAATTGTTTAGTTACTTACATGTTGCATTTCACCACCATAACCGCTGTCAGATCCTCCGTATCCGCCTGTTGATTGCTGTTGTTGTTGTCCATAGCTGTTTCCGCCGCCCATGGATCCCATTGATCCCATTCCATAGCTGCCTGAAGAGCCACCGTTCATTCCGTAACCTCCAGCCATTGAGCCTCCGCCCATGGAACCCATTGATCCCATAGAGCCCATTGAGCCCATTCCGTATCCACCGGTTGATTGTTGTTGCTGTCCATAGCTGTTACCAGCGCCCATGGAACCCATAGAACCCATGGAACTCATTCCATAGCCTCCAGCTGAAGAACCACCGTTCATTCCATAGCCTCCAGCCATTGAACCTCCGCCCATTGAACCTGCACCCATTGAGCTTGCACCCATTGAGCCTCCATAAGATGGCTTAGCTCCTGCTGAAGAAAGGATAAGAATTCAGAGGGAAAATGAGATTATACATGTTTATGAACTAGTAAATCAATGAATATTAACCAACCTGAACCAGAGCCTCCTTTGGTTCCATAGCTTAAACCATTGCTTCCAGAACCAGATCCTGATCCTTTACTTCCGCCTAAAAAAATTGAACAAAAAGCAAAATTAAGTCATTATTTATGCTTTTGATTATCAACTATTTATTGTTGGAATTAGTTCAAAGTAAGAGTTAGTGGGATTAAAAATAAAATCATTGTTAGTGTTGAGCTAAGAAATCAGTAGATTAAAGTTTTCTATATTACTGTTATTGGGAACAGAAATGAATGTCATTTTTTTTGCTTGGATTAATTTTCACTCTCATTATTCATCCTGATGAGGATCAGTTGAGACTGGAGCAGAAATGCGGCCAAACAATTGAAGCAACTTTTCATTCCACCAAGAAACCGAGATTCGAGATAAGTTGGCTGAAGAGGAATACAACTTACCATAGGAATCATCATCAGCTTCAAATCCTGCCTCTTGATCATTTGAATATTCTGAGCTGGCCGTCTTCATGTAAGCTGGTTCCGATTGATATTGACCAATAGTCACCAAAGCGACAGATGATAAAAGCAGCAAATACTAAATGGTAATAAGATGCAAAAAAAGGCAAACGGTCAATATTGAAAAAAAACATGAAAATGGTGAACAACCGAAATGAAATTTCATTTATTTATAAGACTTGTTATACTACCATCAGGGTATCCCCATGATTAGTGTAACAATTTCACATCAATAATAGTTATAATTATTCTGATAATAAACAGTGTTTATTTGGAGGTCATTATTATTATTAATTCATCTCTTATCCCTTCAGTATTACCTGTTAACCAGGGTCTATCCTTTAAAATGCTGGTTTGATCATTTTGTTAACCTAAACTCTAATCATTCTCATCATTTGACTAAAATTATACTATAAAATATATTTAGAGAGTGAAATTACTGTATGAATGAATCAATGTTTATCCATCAGAATGATTATATTTTGATTTTTGATATTAACTGTCAAAAAAGATGAGGTCAATCTTGATAGATGTTTTATATTTGCCATTTAGGTGTCATTGTGAGCTGATTTAAGGACCATTACTGCCAATTTTAAAAAAACAACCCACAAATGTAGGTTTGATTAACTAGTCAATCTGTCCAGCAACTGTCCATTAAATCATATAATGTAATAATGATACAAATTTTTACAATTTAATCATTCTCTAAGTCTATCACGATTACATTGAAACTCTTACATTACAATGTATTTAAGCAAAACTAAACGAAAGGAGATGAAAACATCGAGAATAATAATTAAATTTTCAATTGTTGCTGGTTAAAAATAAAGTGTAATCATGAAATGAGATAATTATTTCCTCTGATTGCAATCATAATTAAAGAGTAATGTTTATTGCAAACTCAAATTCAACATCTAATGTTGATTGTTATTCAATTTTGTAGCTATCCAAAGTTAATTAGAATCACTCCTACTTGATATTAATTAAATCTTAAATCAACAAGTTAAATTATATTTGAGTAAATAATTGCATTCAAATTAATTTTCTACATTTCAACATTTCTTTTACAATTAATACAAGAAATTTGATGAATCAACTGTAAATGCAAATGTAACTCAAAATAGTCAATTTAAATTTTATATTACAGTCTCAACTGAATCATTTGGATACAATTGAAACCATTGAAATGGATTGATATTAAAATGGACTTACCTTGAAAATCATGTTGCTGTTGAGATAAAGTTCCTAATGAATTGAAAGTTGATGAAGACTTGAGATTGTCTGATTGGACAAGATTAAATTGTAAGAAATCTAACAATTTAGGTAAAACTAAACCCTGTTGGTTAGCGATCAAGGGTCAGGTTGAAATTGATTTATCCAGTAATCGGGTTTAAAAGGTTCGCTATTGTTGTGAGTTGCTGGAGTTGAGGTTGGAAACAATATTGAATGGTGAAATAACGTTGAATACAATATTTTATATTTTAGATTGTATTAGATGAAGTTGACTGGACGATGAGACCAATAGAACTGATGATCTTTGGTCAGTTTGAGGTTCCTTTATATATGGAATGAAAATTTGTTGATGGAGTAAAGGGTCAGTTGAAGGGATGGTTAAAGGGAGAAAGATGATGATGAAAAGGACTGTAATAATCGTAATATAATCCAGTTAACATTCACCCAGTACAACTTGAATCCACATCCCATTATCAATAATAATCTGGACAAACCTTATAATTTTCACTTTCTTTCCTTTCTTTCCTCTTTCTTTCATTTCTCTCACTTTTACTTTCATCATCTTGTTTACCTTTTAGTGAATCTCAATTTACCTATTATCACAAGGACCACCTCAACATACACTTGCATGTAAGGCACACACAAAACACTCTATTTTACATCCAATGAACAATTTGAATTGACTTAGATTAGTTCTTGATTAGACAATCATATTCACAGTATATGAACAATTTCTCAATGATCAGTCAACAATTAATGTATAAATCAATATATGAAAACATGTATGACCTAAACGATGATCAACATTAGCTCTTTTTTTGCCAACTCTTATACTCAAAGAAAAAAAACTTGCCATTTCAATTGCTTTTCCCTGTTTATACAATTATTCAATTGCTGGGCTAATCACTTGGTAAACTGTGTAGAGTTAACAATTAGGTATTTTAGATTATTAAATCATAAAATTGAGTTAATCGTTTAAATAATTCCAATCAGTGTTGGTCATTAGCAAATTTAATTCTCGCGCTCTCTAATATTTGCCTCCTTTTTTTGCCAATGTTCAATGAGCAAACAGTTGCTTCATTTTTGTAAAATTAAAAACTCGCTAAGTCAAGTGTATATGATTAGTATTACCTCATTTATATTAATTGTTGTTAATTTTACCATTGTATTCGGAAAATTGCGAAAGATGTTCGACTTAATTGGTGAGTAAATGGTCAATACAGCCGCCAAAAGGATAAAAAGCTAAGTTTCTCTTCCCATTGCTCTTTCAGTTGAGCCAACTTTCATGATGATCGTTTGGACATTTTTCTTATAATGGCTATTTTGAATTTCTTACATTATTTAGATTGGTTTTTTGTATGAAAGCTAAATAACCGATGTCAAGGTAGTTAACAACAATAGTGATTTACCACAATTTGTTTATTGTTAAAAGACGAATTGTTTATTTGGATCGTTTAGACTGGATTGGATTGTGAAAATGGAGGATTACCATTACAGTTGCCGTATCGGAAAACTCATACATACTGTACATGTAATTTGATGATTTGCTGCCTGTTAGTAATTCAAGATCTGCTGTTTTTAATTTCTATTTTCCTGATCATTGTGCTATCCATTTTATCCAAGGTTAACAATCACCAATTACGCTTGTATTGTTGGAACAAACAAGAAAAGCAAAAATGAGATTGATTGAGAGACCTTTTCAACTTGTAAATGACTCTAATTTAGATTGAAGAGAACCTTTATGAATGGCTTTATTCATGGCGAAATTTTCATCTTTTTCGTGTTTTGTGTTGGTGATCATTGATGATTGCGGAAATATTATCACCATTATTAACCAAACTTCCGATATTAATTTGATTTCACACTTTTGTTTTATCACATCAAGAGTTTAAGCACGTTGATTGAATAATCTAATTTCTTCACCATCATCTTCATCTTGTTCACCTTTCTACCTTTTTACATGTACTTTATATACATATTGATTAATATACTCTTTTAACGGTTTTGATTATTTACTTTTAATTGTGAATATCAAAAGGAGCAAAAAAAAGGAGTAGGAGAAATGAAAAGAATTAGAAAAATCTACTTGAATTGTTCATCGTCATGAATTAAGTCAGCTTTTAAATTTGATTTTAATGATGATTACAATAAGTGATTAGATGAACGAGAAAGCTCTTAAACTGTAAAGGATCCTTGTTGAAAATTCAACTGATCATCACCTTTTTAACTCTCACATGATATGTAAATGATTATCTTCACTGAATGTTAAACAGTTTTGAAAGAAAGCAATTGATTTGCCTGAAATTATTGTCATCATAATTATCGCTTAATTTGATTGCATTTAAATCATCGCACAAAAATTTAGCTTTCACTAAGTGAGAGATTGAAGAGTGAAAAAAGGTTAAATTATGTGTAATTATTTATTACATATATTATAATTATTCAGATTATTGGTTTAACTTAATCTTGGCCCATTAATTTGCTTCAAACATCTAACTATGTAATTACCATTTAAACTTTGGGTTCAACCATTTCTTGTATTAAAATTGGTGAAATCATTGAAAAGGTAAGAAGAAATGGCGAAAACAAAAAATTAAATTTAATTAATTTCCAACAATCATTTTTCATCTCAATCCGTTGTATGTTAATTTACAATTAACAAGGAAATAATTGATTAATAAGAATCACGCAAATCAATAAAAATAAATTGCCGTAAATCTTGAATCCTATTTGTTTTTTTAGTTAAATTGTTAACCTTGTCGTGATCTTGATTGCTGATTGTCTATTAGTTTGTCATTTCAATTTTACTTTTCCTCTTAAAACACTCAAATTGTTGAGTTAACCCAAAGATTACAGGTTAACTTGAAGGTCAAGAATAACCAGAGAAACCTGAAGAAATGGTCATTTTGTTTGGGAATGTGAATTTCATTGTTAACTCGATTCTCATGATTAAACTTAATCAATAAAAGGAGCCTTTTACAAACAAGAAAGTTAATTTTCACTATTAATAAATGATCAAAAAATAAACCCTCAAATGACCAACACTGGCACTAATAGTCAGTTAAATGGTTAACTTGAGTTACACAATTAACTTTGACATTTCTTTTAGTCTGTTTCTCCTTGTAATTAGACTGACCAAATGAAATTATTATCACTGATTTTGTAATGTTAACCAATCATTGTTAAATTGTTTCCAAAATCTGAGAAAGGTCAAACCCGCAAAAGGTGATAATCAAAGTTGGATATCATAATTGTGATCATTGATTTCACCCAAATGGACAAACAATTATGTTCAATTAGATATTAAATTCACTTGTTGGCTTTAATTGATTGTCAATTTGATTTTGAAATGGTCAACAAAGGTTGAAAGGAACAACAAAATTCAGAAAACTAAGGTTAACTCAAAAAGAAAACAATTTTTCAGAATTTTGATTCACAAAGAAACACACTCAAATTGTCCAACACAAACAAGTTGATCAACATAATTCTGCTATTATAATCAATGGACAATTAGCAGCAAATTGATAGCAATCGAAAAGAGTAAAATTGTTGAAAAAATGAAATGCAAATTGAAAAATGCAAATCTTTTTGTTTCAATGTTTTCTCCAATTGCATTTCATCAATTAGACGATTAAGGGAAACGTTAATCGCCATTTAAGCTGATTAGAAGATTTACTCTTAATTTTAACTCTTGCAATCCATTTTAATGATTTCATGTGAAAAATTGAAAATTGCGGAATGCGGAATAGAATTGAATTGAAATAATAATTCATCTGTTGACATATTGACATTATTTATTGTCATCAGCTTTTACCAATGATTGCCTGAATAAATTAAGAAACAATCAATCGGTAAAATTGTTTAACCAACAGTAAAAGTGTCCTGTTCATGTCGACAATTTGACCAATCGAGACTTAATCAAATTCAATCAACTTGAATAGTGGCAAAATTACTGTTTATCATTGGTCAAGTTTAACAATTGATCAACATTAAAAGGTTAAAGCAAATCAGTGCGTCCGGGAAGATCAATGGCTTTTGGGTAACAGATTTAAAAATCTTCCAACAAATGGTTCAATCTTTACTGACCTCAACACAATTATTAGGTCGACTTAATTTAAATTCAACTTGGCCTTACATTCCCATTTAATCACAACAAATCACAATATAAATCATTTGTAAAATCCTCAACTCAATCGCTTTACATTCAAGCATAAAGATCATTAGATTAACATAAATACCAGTGTTGACAAGTTAAAGGTGAAAATGTAAATTCATTGAACAAGTCCATTCAGATGATCAACAGATAACCATTCAAAATAAAACCATAAATCACTGAATATCCATGATTAAATGATTATTTCATTATGAGAATCAGCAATGGATTAACCAGTTTCTGGTAAACATTTCATTTTCTGGTTGCTTTACTGTAAACTCATCTACAAATAAAACAATCGGTAAAATAATCTGTTCAATCTGATTGAAGCTTATTGATTATAATTATTTAATAAGGATTGACCTTTCCTTCCTTCCGCCGTTACATTGCTAAATGGACAACTACTGAAGTCTTCATTGACCAGTTAAATATGATTGGTTTAATCATTGAAAGTGAAAACCTTTTCAACTCTTTTACCTCATTTTGACTTTCAATTTAAAGACATATTTGATGACAAGATTGCTTCCATTTCATCTACTCTAATCACTTTTGATTAAAGTTAATTTGGAACACGCTTTAAATGATTATTATACTCTTTAACCATCATCATCATCTTATCCTTTGATTTCATGTGTTAACCAAATTGTTGTACCTTCAATCGACTATCAAATTATTGATTTAATCAATTTAATGACAATTGAAAAAGGTTTACCTTTAAATTGTTGTTAAACCATTATTTAAGTTAACATCTTTTTTTTCTTACACTAATTTGCTTATTAATTCAATCGTTTTTGTTCCTATTTTATTCAATTACCTCACAAATGTTTGAATTTAACAATGAACAGGTAATATCATTATTAATCATCTTTAATTGGTTAACAATGGCGATGAGGTAACAATTTTTTCCAATTAATTAAACCCTTTCAAGGTTAATCAATTAGATTAAATGAAGTTTCAGATTAATCAATGTCAAGTGGGTCTAACAATTGATTAACATTTTCATCTTTAGCTGACGATTATATTTGCATTGAAAAAGTGAAAGGTTAATAGATTTAAACAAATCACCTTTGATTGATCTGTTTATTAATTGTGTACAGAAGTGAATTCAATGTTTGGTCATTTTAATGTCAAAAATTGTATTATCTTGTCATTTCATTGAAATTTGATTGAAAAATTGAACAATTTGAACACAATTTTTACTATGAAAATGAAGTTAAAGCAAGAAATATTTTCCTTTGTATTTCAACTTGATTTAGTCTGATTAATGGTTAACTAGATGGGAAAAATTGTCTACATTTAACATTGAATGTCTAGCAATAGTTGACAGTTTTTCAGGTGTCAACCCAAATTTTGTTTACATTGAAAATGCTAATTCAGTTGATTGTTTTCAGTTGGAATACAAAAATTGATTAGCAAGATTGAATTGTTTGATTCCATTTCTTTAGGAAACGGTAATTTGAATTGAAAATTGAATCTCAATTGAGATCAAATGTACATTTGGAGCTAAACAATGAGTTTGAGTAAATATGTAATGGTTAACCCAAAATATTGATAAATGCACTTGAAATTGGATGTTTTTTCGTGACCAGGAATTGAATTAATTTCAACAATAACGTCCATCTTTAATTTCCTGTTTTGTTAAATTAGACAATTAAATGTTTTTTAATTGTCTAGTCTTTTTTGTCTACTAAATGATCATTGAAAAATGATGAAAGATAACCAATGGTTAACCATAATTAAGGCCTCCAATCAACTAAACCTTGACTTTGAACCAATGGAATCAATTGGATAATTCAACTTTCCCTTTCAATTTTGCTGAATAAATATGAATTTGTGATTAGCAATGATTTACTAAATTAATTTATATTTTATTATTTGTGCTGTTAATTGCCTGTTAACGTCACTTTCTTATTAAATTTAAATCGGCTTGTTTCACCATTCTATTGTATTTCAATGGTTTTGCTTTTGTCTTTATTTCAATTAAATATCACAATTGAAACAGATTATCATTTTTTTAGGCTTTTACTTGGGTTAATCAAGAGTCTGATGATTATTAACTGACCAGATGGACTCAGGTCGTGTGAATGGTTCATGAATCACGTTTTGTCAATTGTAGAGCACGAAGTGAATCATCATTATTTAAGTTTTTGCTTGTTGAATCAATAACAAGTTTATCATGATGAAGAGTTTTTAAGGTAAATTGTTAAGACCATGATCTATTGGTGTCAATCATTGATTTGGACGATCGATGAATAAATCAGAACAAAGCTAAAATGAATGGACTAAATTAAATTGAACAGACAGCTTTGTGGAAAGATAAAGGATTTTAATGTCTTCAAAGGTGACCTTTTTTTCATCATCTTAAACGATGATGTTTTTACAAATCTCATTATCCAGAATTGATATTGATTTTTGGAGGGTGAAACACAGGTTACCGTATCGGCGCACATAATGTCACGGTGCTTCAAAATGGGCTCGCTCAAATAATAGCACTTCTGCTGCTCATTTAGACGCTCATGGGCTATTATTAATGATCACTTTGAGCTTTTTCTCGACCGATTAGCAGGGAAAAAATTTGATCTTGTGAATGCATTTCTATTAGTGAATTGAAAAATTTAAAATAATAATCAAAATTTCTCTATTAACCGATCAATTTCGATTTTTACAAATTTTTCCTTTTCTGAGTTAACGCATGCTCAGTGACGCAAATTCTCACTTATTACGAGCGAGCTCGATCCGAGGCACCGTGACATTATGTGCGCCGATACGGTAATTCAATTGTTAGAATACAATGGTTTTGATACAATTTGATATCAAGCTTTTTTAAAGCATCAATTAACATATTTGATATGCATTTGATACAGAAATAAAACATGGAGATTGATAAATTACAGGGAATGTGTTTAATATGTTGTATTTTTGAAACAATTTTCAAGTTAAATCACGCAATTGAATCAAAAGGGCATCAAAATTACTGGTGGTGACATCTGATGAACAGCTTATTGTGTTGTTTGTACGTTTTGCGTTTCCTCTCCATCGAACAGCTCTTCAAACGAAGCCAAAATGAAATGTCCTACCAGTTTGGCACTTTTTTCATCCTTCAAAAGTTGATTAAAGAAGGGAATCAAATCTGTGACTTTATCCTCGATTCCTTTAAAGTCCTCCAAGGACCAGAAACAGATAACTCGTACACAGGCCATGACTATTGAGAAGTTCTTTTCATTTGATTGGACACTTTCCCAGTCGTAAATTATATTCTTTACATAATCAATGACGGTTAAAATGGTTTCTCGAAGTGCATTATACAAATTGACAATTGAATCAGGCGATAATCTTGAAGCTGGTTGTGATAATTTTTCTTCAGTGCAAAGGGTATCGATAAAGGTTTCAAATATCATGAGACACGCGTTCAACAAATGTTCATCAATGGCTTCATCTTTTCGTAGTTCGATACAAATTTCAATACAAACCAAACGACCAATGAGTGGGAAAAAATTTTTACAATGAGTATCAGTAACACCTTCAGTTCCTATGGTCATCCAATTGAAACGGGGGAATACTTCGTTAAGAGCAGCAATCAAATAAAAACCTGAATCACGGTTCTGTTTATCAAGGCGACTGGTAAAAATATCGTACAACCCTGATGTAAGCAAGGGTAACCAATTAGCTGCCGATACTTCGGTAGATGTTGATGAAGAGGATGTTGATGATGTTGATATGGAGGGTGAACATGGTTGTATTTGAGAGAGCAGAGATTTATCTGACTCTTGAATAATGGCTGCTAGTTGGTTACAGAGATCAAATTTTCGTTGACTTTGATTAGATTTGAATTCAGTAGCGATTTGTAACATACATGTATGAAAAAGATATGGAATATCACGCGATGGATCAGGTACGTTCATATTGTTATCGAAGATGCTTTGATTTAAAGGCAAAAGGTAAACAAAAAAATTATTTCTAGTTCAATTTATCCACAGAAGAGAACAGCACATGCAATCCAATTTACCTGTTTTAAAAGCCGATAGGTGTCACTATCTCATTGCAATCTACAATTTTCTCCTTTTCATCAATTTAATTTGATTCTGTTTAAATGTTTTATTTTTTCATTAAAACCTGAGTTTATTTGAATGCTCAAAAATGATAAGAGTGAAATTCACATGGAAAAATGGGCAAAATACACCTTAAAGTTTAATAAATCTTCTACAAAACCTTTCCACCTTTTCAACATACAACTCAATAAATTTGAAAATAATATAACCCACCAGCAATTACCCTTCTATATCTATTTTAATTACATTTTGTTACTTGTGAAATTAATCAAATAAACCAACAATTCACAATAAGTGCAATATCTGCCCATAACTGTCTTATGGCCTATTCGATAGCTGATAAAAGCGACTATCGCTACTAAAGGCTCCGTGCTTAAGGAAATCTTCACATGTTTTTGAAAATTCAACATCAAAAATCTAATTTAGTCGATCATTAATTTTCAGATTTATTTGGATTGGTTGGTATATCCAACTCTTATTTTGAAAATTTGATTCATATTGATTCGCTGGAAATTTAAATGAAATTAATCAAGATATAATAAACTCGTTACAGATTTTGCTTCATCAGACATTTTCTTATGCATTGAACTAGGTTAATTAAATAACCCAACGTTAATGCTTTTTAATGTTTTTTCATGACTTACATGAATTGAGCTCAATGTTCAACATGTTATCAATATAATTTAAGAACAATTATCGTAATTATTAAAGATTTATGAGATTTATCTAGATAATATTGGATAGTTTGATTGCCTCTCTTCATTGATTACAATCAGTTTTGGCAGTTTTGTATTGTTTTTATTGCCAATTAGTTTCCACTTCAATTAGAGTTACAGTTTACCAAGTTAACCAAGTTGAATTATAATCAAATAACAATTATCCACTAATTGAGAAAAAGATAGCAAATTAACAACTAATGTTAACAAACTTATTAGGCATACATAATTGCAAATTAAAATTTGAGTTTACAGAAAGCAGAAAAAAAAGTTTCATAAATTGAACAAGATCGTGCCAAAAGCACACCCAGAAATCACACATTAAAAGGTATCAGTTTAATCAAAATTGAACAGCAATTCAGTTCTTTTTTACATTGAGAAACATCATGAAAAGAAAGATGACGAAAGGAAGAAAAGTAGGAGGATGAGAAGGAGGAAAATAGTAAATGATAATGAAGCCAAAAAGTGATAGACTTAAGGTGATAATGAAGCTGATGGTGAAGACGATGGTGATGATGATGTAAATGATGTTGATTAAAATTGAGCAGAAAACAAAAACAAACCAAACCCTCAGTTTCACTTTAATTAACTTAATTTGGTTTCACAAAAGTTAAGTGATTTACAATGATTTATACACAGTGTAATGGAATAGCTAAAGATGAATGAAATGAAGAAAAATTCAATAACTTTGTATTCCATTGAAAGATGTTAATCTTTGAGTAAGAAGCAAGAATTAGATTATCTGATTAATCCAACATGCAAAGGTTGAACCTTTTATAAGCTGTCTAATAATTACATTATACAAATAATTTGTATTTCATTTTTTACGTTATCCTTCCTCACAATTTCCCTATCATAATCATCTTCGCCTTTCAAATTGTAAATATTAATATAAAGCTTTCTTTTTGAGGTTCATCTGATCCTTGAACAAATAGTAAACACTCAAAGATCCCAATCAAAGGTAATCAAATTGATTTTATGACAAAGCATAACCAGGATATAATTGATTATGGTTAACTATGGTCAAGTGTGTTTGGTTTAAAGAATTAGAGATTGAAAGAGAGTGAAAAATTGGCAAATCTGATCTCCAGAAGAAAAAATATAAATAGATTAACATTGGCTTTGGTTTACTATTTGATTTTTGTTTCCATTCATTCCTGAAATGTATTTTACACAACACAATATAACCATGTTAATAATGCGTTTGCTTCTGTAGGTGTTGATGAAATGATAAATGTGAAAAAGATGATGTTGATGACTTTGAACGCTTTCCAATGGTTAATTTGATCCATTTTGATTTTCATCTTCCTTTCAGTCCTTTCCTTGGTTTGATTGAGATGCGTTTTTGTTTACCTGAGCCAAAAGAAGGGAAAAAATTAGTGTTAAAATTGATTTTAAGGTGTGATCTTCAAATAGTTATATTTGTTTATCATCCTGATCATCATCATTCCAGAGTGATATTTGAACAGTTAAACTTGATATTGATATAAGATGCTGTCTAATTGTAATCATGCAGAAAAAAAATGAGCAGACGTTTTTGCTTCAAGATTGAATATTAAATTGTATAAAGAAAAATGTTTCAAGCTTTGATTGAAGAGATTCAAACATGAAATGATAATGGTAATGATGAAAGGTAGGGAATTTGATGATGATAACAATAACATCAATATTAATATCATTAAATGTATCAAGAGAATTAAAAGTAATGAAAAAAGGTTATTATCAACGATTCCTTAGGCTATGTTAAATGATATGGTTTGTTAAAGTGACAATTAGCAGTTGAAGCGATAAACATTTGGTTGCTTTTTCACCCCATTCAACTATTTACCAACAAATAATAAAAATGAAAATGCAATGAAATAAAATTAATGGCAATCATAAAGAAATAGTAATTAATATAAATTTCATTTTGATAATATTAGGGAAACTAAAAGTCAGTTGATTATTTGTGATTATCATCAACACCAAAATCAACATCACCCTTCCCTTAACACCATTTCAAATTATATCTTTTCAATTGATTTGGAAATTGAAATGGAAGAAGAGCGTAAAAACTGACGAAGATGATGATAAGAGTGAAAGTGTATCTCATTGAAAGATATAGCACTGATAATGGAAAAAGAAACAAATATATTACTAAATAGCAGATGGGAAGAGTTGTTAATGGGGAGTTGAAGTTGACAGTAATTACATGATAAATGTTATCAACAGTAATTGTAATCTCTGTATCTTTTAAACAGCCAAAAAGCAAAAGTAACAAGCAATTGAGTCAAAATCTGTATAATTAGTTGTTAACTTTTACGTTTGTGTTTGAAAAAGATGCCTTTTGATTCGTCCTTTTTTAAACTCAATGGATATAATAATAATCACTGGCATCATTGTCTTGTCTCTTATTTATTCATCTTGATGCATCTTCACAGCCTCTGTGTGTTAACCACTGTGTTTATTGTCTTTAAAGGCGCCTCACCTAACCTTGTCACCTCCCAATGCCTCATCGGCATCACCATCATCGTCATCACCATAGCTGGTAGTAATTATGTTAACGAGGAGAGAAAAGCAAAGAAAACAAAATTATTATACAATTTACGAGAAAAAAAACATTTCTTAAGGGCAAACAAACATATTAAATATAAATATGGAAGAAGAGTGAGAAAGAGAGAGAGAGAGAAATGAAATGAGAAAAGGTTAGGCGATGATTTGACGCTCATCCGGTGTTACCTTAAAGTGTTGTTGTCAACACGTTCTCACAGGTTTATAAAGTACAATTCAACATGTTAACCATTCCCTTAACAAGGCTAATTCAATGGCATTAATCCAGCGGCTCAATGAGAAACTGGAAAGAAAAAAGAAGAGAAAACAAAATGAGAAATTAAAATGTAATATTAATTGTAATGAGATATCAAAAAAGAGATTGGAAAGGTAAAAGTGGAAGGAAGAAGAAATGATGATTAAGGGGAGGTGGAGGAGGATAGAGAGTAAAGAGGGTAAAATGAAATGTTAATTATTTATTTTCAAGAATTTGCATGTAAATAAATTATCTCTTAACAGGACACTTTGAAACTTTTCAACGCAACCTTTGATTATAATATATAATTATAATGTAAAGGGTTGAACCAAGAAAGTCTTAAGGACATTACAAATGTAATAAAAAATGTACAATTAATAAAAGTACATCATTCTTGGACTGTTTTCACCTTGCTTTGTTTTTTCCGTTTCTTATATCATCACCACTACCGTTTGTTTGTTTTATCATCCACAGTCGAGTCATCATCCATTATAATAATAATTATCACCATCACACTGTTGCAATCATTCATCATCATCATTAACATTTTACATTCAACTATTAAATAAACCAATGTTGACTTCAACATCATTAACTTCTTGTTTAAATAATATATCATTTGAATAAAAAGAGTTTACTTCTTTCTCTTCTACTTACAGGTTTCGTTGCTTTTCATCATTATTGTTATTAATTTTCACTTTGAACCCTTTAAGTTAAATTCAAGTAAATAATTTACTCGCTTATCCACCCAATCATGTATTGCTGCAATTAACTGAATCCGTGTTCCTTTTCTGATAATATCTTCAAGTCGTTCAAGCAATGTAATCAATGTTAAGGTGATAAGAAGAAACCAGATCAGCCCAAGAAATATTCTTGATTATGGATTAAAATGATGTAAAGATGATGGCAATGGCGTTAAAACTGGAATTAAAATTGACGACAATCACGTTGTTCAACAGCTCTGATGAATCCAGGGTCAGACTTTTCTTCATCATAATCATTTTGTTATCATCAATTTCATCATCATCATCTTCTTCTCACTTCTCTTTTCCCTCTGTAATAAATGTTACCTGAAGATAGCTAAATATACTACAAATCCTGGCAACATGAAAACGCTATCAAGCAATAAGATTGTTTGATGTAATTACAAGTTACCTGAACATTACAAATGGTAATGATTTAGTTTATCATGTTATAAAACATTTTAACCTCTCGCATTATTTTGATTTTGCTATTTTTTTCACTTTCAAAAATTTATTATAAGCGGTCCGTTAACATCGACTCTTTCTCTCAGTTAGTGATAAGGAGGGAAAGGTAAGTGAGATGATAATGATTATCATAATGATGATGATGATAATAATAATGGTGCTGGTGATGAAAAAAGGAGAAATTCAATAGTTTATCTTGCAAGAAAATTGTATCCTCCCTTTTTATAAGAAATACATTTTACACTTTGGTGTAAATATATTCAGTTTAGAGGTGATAAGAAGCCGGTTACATGGGTGATGTTTCATGCTTCTGAGTAATAATCATTTTTTCTCCAATAATTGAAGTGATTATTCACCTTTTTTGAAAGATAATTTTCTTATTTACATTCCCTAAATCATGGTCTTTCTTAGGTTTAGCAACTTACAACCAAAAGTTAACTTGATTGTTGTGTTAATATCAATATAATTATTTGAATATTAAGGAGTGACTATCAACTAATTCATAAATCATTAGACAATAATTTGGTAAAAGGTGAAATCTAATTTGAAGTTAATCATTGAGGATATGTTTAAATTATACACTGTAAGCGTACAAATGTATAATAAAAACTGAATTAAATAAAACATTAGTCATGATCATTGTATTGAATAAAACAATTAAAATAAATCATACCAATGATCAATGATTAACATCTTCAACACAAATTCAGGGTAAAGCCTAAGTGAAACAATACGAAATTCATCTGGACATGCTTACACACTAAACTTGAAAGGTAATTGTTAAGATTAAGGCGAAGATTAAAGTGTGAAATTATCTCTCTTCAAAGTGAATCCAAGTTGTCAATGTTTGATTTAAGTTTCAATTTGTTAGCAAATTCCTTGGATTGATGGTGAACAATTGAAACATCCTTTAGATTGTAATTTCATCGTGTATCTTTGACCCTAATTTTATTGATAGAGAAAAAAATAGGAGAGAAAAAAAAGTTTCATGATACTAATTGCCATGACAATGGTTTGGAAGTAATATTTAAGAGTAAAATACTTACATTCAGGTACATTCATTCTTATCATCATCATCATCAGCGTATTCTTTTTCGTTGCCTTCTCAATTGCTTCTTTACTTCATCACTCTTCACTGATTGATAATCTGTAATGATAGGTTATAAAACTGCTTGTATATTGTGTGATCAGATAAACATCTCATAACTCCTTTAAGAAACATTGTAACACCAACCATTGTTATTATTATATATCTTTTTCAGAAGAGTGTAGTCTGCCAATCTTTTTTTTCCAACAACCTTTGATCATCCATTTTTCCTATTTTGTTCCCAATTCAGGTTCATCATCAACATCATTATGATTATGATTTTTAGCACATCATCAACAACATCACAGTCTTTGAATCAACGTGCAATAATCTATAGAAATATAGGGAATATAAGGCAAAAAATCAGTGAATCAGACAAGAATGATGAAAACAGAATGAACATTTTATAAAAACAAGTTGGTGATGAAAAGTCTTACCAATCATTAAAGTTGATTTTCAACTGAAATCATCATTAGTGGTACCTCTAAAGCCTTTCATTTCAACACGGCAAGCCTCCTTGTTTTGTTTACAATTCAAGAAGATGTTGGTGTTAAATACAGAGCTCAATATTATAGCAACAATAGCAATAACAAGACAAGATTATTATCATTATCATCACTCTTGTTTAACAATTTACCATTTTGATTATGATTGTTAACAGCAAAATAAGACATTTCAAGTGTTACGCATGGTTTAATCGCCAACATCTTATTGCTTCACTTTGATTTTACGTAATTTCTGGAAGTGTAAAAGTTGAGCCAAAATCACTTTCAATTTGGTAGATAACATTGAGACCATTCTTGAATCAACATTGCTCCTAATACAGAAAATTAAATGGCAATTGAGACAAAAAAAGATTCATGAGCATATCATTATAATGATAGAGTGAAAAAAAATAATTAATAATACTTGCTTGTTGACACCTTTAATTAGACATTTCTTGTCTATGTACATTTTTTAGCAATCACCATAATTAACACCCAAAGTCAATGCCATTAATGGATAAACCTATGTATAGTCAATTTCAGTGCTAGTTAATCAAAAATGGAGGAGACAAAAAAAAACAAAAACGCAAATTGTACAATTAGCATGACAGATGTAACAAACAAAATGGTGGAGTCAGACGATGTTAAAAAGGGGATGAACTAAAAATTACAGCGCGTTAAGCCAAATGTCTTTTCTCATTTTACACTAAATAGATAAAATTTTACAAGCTGATTACACTAATAGATTGATGAGTCTCTGGTTTCAATTCAATTCACACACTCGGATTGCGGTCAAGTCTAAAGAGTTTATCGTTAATCTTTAACAGAATTCCTAAAATCGGTAATTTCTTCTCGAGTTTAGTTTAAACTTGCATGTAGATCATTCTCTCAACTGGAATTCAATTTATTACATAAAATGAGCTAAAAAACGTTTAGTAATAATAAGATAATTGATTACCTGTAATTTGATCTAGGATGTTTTTAGGTTGAAGTTACCTTTCCATTTTTTTCTGTTTTTAATTGAAAATCAAGCCAAAAAATGAGCTGCAACAAGGGTAAATTAAGAATAGTGAAAATGAGAAATGATATTAATGATTGAAGAGTAGAAGAAGAAGAGAAAACAAAAAACAATAGGGAGTCAAAGTAAAACAAAGAGTGAAGGCGTTTAGTTGAGTGTTTATGGTAATGTTAAGGTGGGCCTTTTTGGCGTGTTTTTTCTAACACGATTTAAAGGCAATTAGACTCAACGTAATCTTACACAGATAACAAAAAAAGTAATATAAATATAGAAATATAAATCAACTTTTCTTACCATTTCAAGCTTCGTGAACACACATTTTAACGGCAACAACAGCTTAGACCAGCTTAAAGTAAGAAAAAAATCTCTTTATCCCGAGTATAAGGTGATTATTATACAGTAATAATGTTAATGATTAAGAAGAGAAGGATAATCACTTTTAATTCACACACAAACAAACATTAGTTAAGGTGAAAATTATGGTAACAGCAAGAAAAGAAGAGAGAGAAAAGAAGAGAGAGAAAAAACTGGACAATTAAAATCAGAAGACAATAAAGCTAAAAAAGCAGCTCCAGTTAACATGGCAACATGGACGCTTCAAGGGGTCAACTCCTAATTATGCCTTGTTTAACCAGATAAACATTGGTTTAACATAAATCATGTCAAATTGTGTTAACACTTTAACTAAACCCAGTGATGGAAGTAAATTAAATAAATGAGTTTACAATAAATAACAATAAAATAATCTTCCAATGTAAAGTTACCTTCAAAGGTTTACCTTTTTGAGCTGGAGTAGTTGATTGTTGATGCAAAACAGAATGTGAATGATACATTTCCCCAGTAATTTAACAACTTAAATTGTCTAGTTAATTGTTAGCATCCTGTAAAATCATTTGATCCGTTGAAAAAGTTGTCAACAGTAGACAGACAAAATAGACTTGACTCCTAACAAGACGAAAAATATGTCTTTTAGTTGATGATTTATCATGAAAAATATTGAAGAAGAAGAAGAAATAGAAAAGACAATTTAGTGAGTAAACAAAAGGTGAATAATTAACATGATTACAATATAAATGTCAACATTTACTTGATTAATTGAGTTTGAAGCAAGCAGTTGTAACAACGTTATTAGATGAACATTTACAAGTGAAAGAAAATGTTGACCAGAAAAAGAAACAAAGTGTTCATCAAATGTACAACCAATCTTACCATTTACCATGTAATTTGATTGAAAACTGTTAATTGCAGTTGTCTAGCTTTCTAATCAATATTACCTTTTTGGTTCAACAGTTTATCAACTTTGGTAAACTTGTAAGGTTGTACTTTGCCGTTTCATTTGTAGTATTACCTGGACAAGACAAATATGAAAGGAGGCACTGAAAGCTGTCTAACCTCGGGCTGATTGTTGATTAATTATTTACCCATTTTTGAGTTTCTTTTTCTGTTAATTTGTTGATGAAGATGATGATGGTGCTGATGATGGTGTTGATCAGAGTGGCGATCATTATCAACAAGATGAACCAAAGAAACAGTCTGAGGCCAGAGCAAAATGAATCCTGTTTGGTTAAACAATTTAACAAAAAACATTTACCTCCACCTTAACTGTAGATGTTTTTGTTTTCAAATGAAACATTTCACTTGAACATTAAATTACTTAATTTGATATTAAATCAACTAAATTGCCTTTAATGATCAAACTTTTGCTTTTTGCAAACAATTTGATTCTGATTTAGAGACTTTCAGATTTTAAATTTTAGTTTTGCTGTAAACCCAAACATTTTTTTCAAGAATTGCCGATGAACTGATTTCAGCCATTGGATCTTTCAATGGAAGAAGCTTTTAAAGCTTTTGCTATTCAATTTTGGTGACATGATGAAGATGATCAAAGTTAATCAGATTGGGTTGAAAGGTTTAAGTGGTAATTAGATCAGATTGTTGTCCATTAAAAGTGTTTCAGTAAAGAGTTGAAAGGTTTTTGAGGATAATGAAAGGTGGTTGTATCATCTTTAATCATGTAGCAGGCGATTTGAATGTTTGATTGAATTGGTTAATAATAGTGTTTAAATTAACATTAACAGTCCATAATTACAATTGACTATTGAATGTGTTTCCTGGATTTTGCTTTTCACAATAAACCATTTTGAGATAGACTTTTTAACTCCCTTTTAACAAAACGTTAAAATGTTAATTTATGGAGAGAGGAGGAAGATGATGATGATGATGTGTTGTTGCTTTTAGCACATTTAGCGTGAAAAGGCAAAAGGCCACTGAAAAGTCAATGAGTGCCTGAGATTAGCTTAAAAGGCCAAATTACACACTTCTCATCGAAACCGTTTGCCATTTTGTTGTTTTCCTTTTCAGGGTCAATACGATACAGAAATGTTAACTTATTTTTACTTTCTACATCTTACCTTTTACCATTCATTATATATTTAATTTAGTTTTGTTTCTTTGAGCTTCTATCAACAGACTAACAGAGCCGATAGAGTAGGCCAGGTGAAAAGCAAAAAATTGCTCACAATCATCATAATTATTAAACTACCGTCAAACAAGCAGAAAAAGCTTGGCTATAAGCAAGAGTCGATATCATTTTGTTAACACATTTTACGGCTGCTAAATGCTGATCTTTGATCCTAAAATCCAAATTTCCCAATCAACTTGGATCAACGAAAGTTTATCCCAACCATTGAGTTATTATGCCTTAAGTAACATTATGAAAGGATGAATCAAAAGTAGGAACAAGAAACACTAAACAACTTTAACTTTACACGAGATCAAAGGATGGAAAGAGATCTGAAAATTAGTCAAAAAATGCTTTTATTGAGATTTACCTCAATCTTTTTTGGTTTAAACTACACAAAAATGTTGTAAAAAACACATTTGTTACACTTATGCACAAATTGGCACACATTGAAATGAATGGGCAAAAATCGGGTAAAGAAAAATTTCTTTCAAACCGAGGCTCTGGTGGTTTGTAGAAACACAAAAGCTGAGTTATTTGTGCGATTTAAAGGTTTCTCTGGTCGACAGTTCTCGAGAGAATCATGTTCGAAGTTGAAACTTGCAAAGCATTTTGTACAATAATGGAAGAAGATTTGCTCATGAAACTACTAGTACTGATGTAATTTTTGATGATTAACCATAAAATGTAATTATTTTGAGCAATAAAGTTTTTCATTTTCTGTAAAAAAGATCACTTCGATTTTCAATTAAAGCGACCGCATTTTGTACTCGTAAGAGTTAGATGGTTGAAAACTATTATTTGTACATATTCATTGTAGCTACACATCAACAATTGAATACTTTTATCAATTCAACAGTAGTTCTCTTCATTTTGGCCATTAATCTAAAAACTTTGTAACCTCAGTATTTCGAGAATGGCATCACCTACAATCTCCATTCTTCGACCAAACATTAGATTACATTGTGTGCTATAATATGCTGAAACATTAAATTATTCAAGATCATACAGAAAAACTTGTAGCATTGTTTAACTTATGATGTGAGATTTGAGAGTTGATTTATAAAGGTAAATGGTTTCTCAAATACGAGTCTTATGTGCTTAAAAGATATTCATTAAATGAATCGGCTCAAATTTTATTCAATATTTATTCATATTTTATTATTGCACATAATGAAACCTACTGTTTGATTAAAGAATAATGATTGGAGATGATGCCATTCTCGACTTATCGAATCTCAAAGTTTTAAGACAAATGGCCAGAATCAAGAGAACTGCTTAAAAATTTATAACATTATACAATACAAGTTGTCGACCAACAATTTTCATTGACGCATAATAAGTTTCAGCTCTCTAACTCTCACGACCACAGAATGCGGTCGGTTTTACTGTAAACCGAACTTGATCTGTTTTACAGAAACATAAAATGTTATTGCTCAAAATAAGACCATTTTCTGGTCGGTCATCAGAAAATACATTATGGAAATAAGTTTCGTGAAAAAATCTGCTTCGATAGCTGAGAAAAAGGCGATCGAAGTTTCAACTTTGACCTCGATTTTCTCGCAAAGTGACAATCGGGGAAATTATTTAATAGTACCAATGAACTCAGTTTTCAAATCTCTACAAAATTCAGCAAGTCTCTACATTTCACTGAAATGCTCGAGTCTTTGGTGTTACTCTTTGCATTTCATTTGCAAGTTTAACCAGAAAATTGGTTTATTAACCAAGAAATGGGTTTAGATGCATTTTGTTTGTTGGATAAGTTGTTTATCGTGCATTTAAACCCCAAAAATCATGACCCAAAGACGCTAATGGAAAGTTTTTGGATTGCATTGAATTATTAATTAGTAAAGAAACAAATTGATGAAGGAACGACGATTGCAGTGGCCACTATTTTCGAAATACTGAGGTTACAAAGTTTTCAGACCAATGGCCAAAATGAAGAGAACTACTGTTTAATTGATAAAAGTATTCAATCGTTGATGTGTAGCTACAATATTTATGTACAAATAATAGGTTTCAGCCATCTAACTCTTACAGGTACAGAATGCGATCACTTTAACTGAAAATCGAAGTGATCTGTTTTACAGACAATGAAAAACTTTATTGCTCAAAATAATTACATTTTATGGTTAATCATCAAAAATTACATCAGTACTAGTAGTTTCATCAGAAAGTCTGCTGCCATTATTGTACAAAAAGCGATCGAATTTTCAACTTCGAAGCTGATTTTCTCGAGAAATGTCAGTCAGAGAATCCTTTAAATCGCCCAAATGAACGCAGTTTTTGTGTCTCTACAAACCAACAGAGCCTCGATTTGAACGGAAAATTTCTTTATCCGATTTTTGCCCATTTGTTTCAATGTGTGTCAATTTTTGCACAATTGTGATGATTGTGTTTTTTTAGTAACAACCATCTTTTTTCAAACGCGTAATTGAGCATATTTTAACTTTTCTTGCACAAAAAAGTGCTTTGATTCTTCAGTTTCAAATAAAACATAAGCATGGAACATCAAAGTGCGATGAATTTTAGAAATCTTTTACTTCAAAAACCAACTGACCAAGTATGAAAAGCGCTTTTAAAAAGTTTTTTGCCTTAAATCTGGTAATCAAATCAATCATTAGATCTACTTTTTATTCAAATAAATTCTTATTACTGAAAACATCGAGTTACAGTTACTTTGATCGCTATCTAATGCATGTTTAAAAATTAGACAAAAATTCGAACTCAGTTTCCCTGTAACCATTCAATGACTAATTGTATCATTTTGAATTATAAATGTTCCACTAAATCAATTGAATTAATAGTAACGCACAAGGTTACTGGTTCAACTCGATCCAATCATGCAATGTGCCTTTTTAACCATTTCTTGCGTTTCAACCAAATGTCTACTTGAAAACCTTAATCATTGAACACTTTAAAATTATCCAGTGAACCCACATTTGAAGCTGTTTTAATATTCAACTGCAATGACAGGTCAAGTTTTATCCTGATTAACATTCAGTTTGACCATTAAATTGTATCCATTAATGATCAGTCTAATAACATGTTAATTGTTATCGTTGAACCGGCGTCAATCCACTGAACATGCAAGACTGAATAGACTGTAAACATGATTCAACCTTGAATATGAAGAATGTAAAATTTTGTGAATTGTTAAGTGGAAAAACTATTATTCACTTTACCTTATCTTTTCATCATCATCATCTTTTCGATCATCATCATTCTTCCTTCTTTAAACACTGATCCCGGGCAATTGATGGCAAACAGCAAAGGGTCTGTAATTGGCGTTAAATAGTTACTCGGGCCTCACCATCACCATCACCATCATCAACAAGTTGAATCATGAAAGTAAACCTTAAAAAGATGAAACATCGCCAAAATGAAAGCTTCCATCCCTTAAGGTGCAAGTTATAACATGATAGCATTTGATGATAATCATTATCATCCTCATCATCATCACCATTATCATCAAATATGATCAACAAGGTAAATTATATTGTGGAGCCAAGGGTGCCAAAGATAGCACCCTTCACCAATACTCACGCCCAGCAGCGACTAAGGCAAGAATAATAACTCCTTATCATCATCATTATTATCGTTGTTATTAAAACTCTGTTCATGTTGATCAGGAATATGTGAAAGGCGTGTTAAAATGTTAACCTTAATTGCAGTTAAAAATCAACAATCAACTTCGTACCAAAATTTTGATCATTATTTTTCTTCTTCTTCTTCTTTAATTGACTTGATAATAGAATAAATTATTTCATTGAAAAAAACTAAATTAAACAAACAATAGAATTGATTATTCTTGACTAAATCTATTTACCACTTTGCTGTCAGCTTCAAGTCCAAGTTAATTAATCTCTATAAATGGTTTATTAGCCTTTTTTGGGTAAAAGTACACAATTTACACCATTTTTTGCAGTTAAAATTGATTAATGAAGCTTTGGGTTTACTGTTATTAGTAACATTATTAAGCGGGTTTTTATGCCGATTGATGGTGATGTTAATACCTTGTTTCATCGTGTTTGCTGTTCATTCATTATTGACCTTAAAAGCTTTCATCTCTAATTACAACGTTCATCATTTAAAGATTCATTAAATTGTCGCTCATGTGACCTGTCAAAGTAAACATTTGACCAGATTGAGGGCTGTTCAGTTACCGATTGAATGTCTATCAAGATCAACCTTTCAATTTCAGGTTTTAACTTGCAATAATGTTGCAAATAACCAAATGATCATCGCTCCTCTTAACCAGATTTGTAGTGTTCATCACTATTCTCATGATAATTGCGTTGTGATTTAAATGATTGGCACTTGATTAGAGGATGTTAAAACTACCAGAAATCATTAGAATTACATTTAAAAGCAAAACTTTTTCATTTTAACCCAAAGAAACGAAAAGAACCAAATTTTCTAAATCCTTCTTTTCGATGATAAACAGGTAAATCATCATTTCGACTTGCAATCTTCAAGTCTTCTCAAAGTCTCTTCAGTCTTTCACCAAATCTTCATCTTTCAAGTCCAAGTTGAGATGATTTTATCCAGAGATGAAAACGGAAACAAGAGACAGGAGAAAATTGAAGAAGAAAAAAATACGAGATTCCATGACAATGGTCATCATATTGAACATCATCATCGGGCTTCATCAACTTGACCAACATCAGCAACCCTTACCATTAACTTGAAAGTTGGCCTTTTTTTGCTTCACTTTCCTTCCTTTTGTTTAACCATCTTTACCAACTGAACAATCTTGAATACCGTTTGTCCCATCATCTCCACCCAATTGTAATTCAAGACAATTCAGTCTCAACAATAAAACAGATTTCAATGAGACAACAAGAGTCAAGAAACAAGAAAAAAAAGTCAACCAATTGGTAACACGAAGGAAAACAAATCAAAATGAACCTCCAAATCAAGTAACATTATTGATTGAAACAAAAATGGACCAAACAAGTTGAACTGTTAATTTAATTGGAACAATGCAAATGAATACAAATTAATATACAATCATGATACATCATCATCAACCTAATCTTCACGGGAAACGCGAAAAAGTGTGTCTGAAACAGGGAAGGAAAAAAAGTTAATCTAATATTATATTTGGGAAAAAAGTTTCATTCCCATAATTTGATAATCATAATAATACAGTAATCTGACATTGAGTACTATCAACTGTCAATTATAACATCAGTAACGATGTAGCAACATTTAGCAAGACATTTGCAGGTCAAAAATAGTCGACAAAGTGAAAGGTGCCGGATGATAATAAACGAGGATTAGCCGGGTTTAATTCAATGATTATATTTACTCTTACGCCCATCTTTAACACTAATCAATTAAAAAATAATTTATTGTAAAGTTGAAACAAACACAGTCAACATCCTTCGGACAGTTTACAATGAGATAATGATGATGATTCAAGACAACCTATTATCATCACTCGTAATTTCATGTTCAATTGGTATTAAAGTATCAAGAGATGTAATTAGAGTGGGCAGCCTTTGTGCCTCTCGACAACCACCAGCCTGGTAATTGAACCCATTTTTTACCCTCAAATCACGAATCTTTGGATCCATTTTTTCCATCCAAGTCTTTTCCCAAATCAAAAGTCAAATAAGTTGACATGAGATTCATTTAAAAATGAGAATAAATTTCAATTCTTTTCTCACTTTAACCAGACACGTGAAGGCGCTTTTTCTGGTTAATGTTATAAATAATCTGGACAAAATTGGGTTACACACTTTTGTTGTTCAAACTCCAAGTAATAATCAGCTTAAGATTTTTCCATTTTTTGGCTCATTCCATTCATTAAAAGAAATGATTATTAATATTTATCATTATTATAATTATCAATCAGTTTCCAACGTTTCTCTGTCAAATAAATTATCATGCTTTTAACTTATTACATGGTTGTCAATCATTTATCATTTTAAACATGTTAAGTCAACAACAAATCATTTTTTGCTGTTAAAGAAGGCGAATACAGTTGAACAGAAAAGTTTTTCCTCTTGAAACTGGCCTAACTCAGTCTTTCAAGTCTGATCAGGTAAACTAGGAATGTTCAATGTTGCGATGAAAAAATAAGGAAATGCTTAGCTTCAATTTAAATGCATTTTATTGTAAGATCAAGTAAAGCGATTCAAAGAAAGATGAACATGAAAAGAATGGATAAATTTACAGAATTATTTGGTTTGAGTTTC